TTACAGTCTTTAGCCACTCTATCTGCTTATCTTGCTGATAAAACTCCGCATGATAAGCAATTTCCCAGTTAACGGAACTCCCTGGCACTGTATTTACATTCTTTCCTTTTCAGAGGCAGAGAATTATGAATGTGGTTCTGATCCTAACTTTACTACTTACAGCAACGTGTCTTTCAGCTTGAAGGGAGCATATGCAAACAAAAACGCAATGTTTGTTTACTTTGGGATTGGGTATTTCCGGGATGTTGGAACAGTCTAAACTGTCACTGCTGATTCTACACTATAAACCTGGTAGGGTTAGAATGGATTGGAGCTGTGGTGGTCTTGGACAGTGGCGTGTGATCAAGGAGTTTTTAGAGAAACTGCATATAAACTGACTGACGGTAAACAACTCAAACTGAACATAAGACATAGTCTTGCAAGAAAAGATTCAGCTCCTTCATGAATACTGAAAGGAATCTGTTAAAAATAAAGCACTGATGTTTCTTCTGCTGCTTTGGCCACTCTAACATGAAATCAAATTGGCTAATTAGCTGTTCCTGCTTCCTTGCCATTGACACGTAGCAGCTCCAACTGATGCCAGAAACAGCTTGAGCTAAAATAAACAAACATTACTTACCACCAACCTCTTAAGGTGCTGTTAACATGAACATCAAATAAACCTGCATTACTCACAGCTGCCCTGAAAGTGTTACTGCACCAGTCAGAAGTCAGAACTTTCGTTCTTTTCAGCATTTATCTGATATTTCCACTTAAGCCTTAAAATAAACTATTTTAAAGTGAAGGATCTAAAACCAGGTCATCACGCTCAAACTATTCAAATCACTCTATTACCCTACAGTCAGAACTACACAGCTAACATCACACAGTGTGAGTGCCATTTCAGGATTGCATCCGATTCACCCCCAGTACCATATCCAGCATCAGATCAGTGCCATTTCTACAAAGTACACATGCACATCTGAGACAAAAGAGAATCTTGCAATTCATGACAGCAGGACAAGACTAATTAATTAAAATGTGTAATTATTCAAACTGGCTCGAGTCTTTATCCTCCCACAGCATACAAAAATGAAAAACTAATAATACTGAGATTAGTAAGACAATGTAATATGAATGTAAAATGATGTAAAAATGAACGAGTGTGTTGGGAGCCCCTCTTCCACACCATTAAAAAAGATTGGTACTAGAAATGTGATCACCAATCATCCAATTTATTATTTTGATTTTGGCTACTTTGTGTTGCAAATTTGATAACGTAAACAATGAACTAGAATAGGCACGTGCGCTGTATTCAAATGATGCTGCTACACCGGTACCAAAATATCCAAGCACAACTATGCATAATTACGCACGACTCATTGAGCTAAATAGCCAGTCTTGCATTATGATGTAGAATTTTATTTGATTCCTGTTATTTAAATATGAAACTGATTTTTTGGTTACAAAATTAAAATGTCACTTATTAAGGAGCAAATAATGTTATTTATGTTGCAGCTTTGGCTAATAAAAAAATGGAAAATGTGCTAGTGTGTTTCATGTGTTCATTTAGTCCACACAGTGGGAGTTTTTAGTTAAAAGGTTAAAACTGGAATAGGTGAATTTTGTACAAACAAGGAAGAGTAAGCTGTCATTTTTTAAAAATCCAACCGAAAAAATCCCACCCCTTACTTTCAGCCCTCCTTTCAAAGCCACTCCCCCAAAACACATGAACATGCATGGCCTTCGAACATATACACACACAGATTACATACAATATTAACAAGGCTAGCTAGCTTACATCTACAGCTTAGATAACATTAGTGTTGGAATAATTCATAATATAGCTACAGAAGTAGCTAGCTATGCTGGCTATATAATTCAGGAAAAATCTTCCATAAACAAAGCAAACCAAATAATTACCTGTCCAACAGAAAAATAGCAACCTTGGCATTGCATTCCAGGCCTTTCAACTCCCTTCAGTTTTTCCACTACTGGAAAGCTACACTGATTTCACTCTGGTTTGACCTCTTGCTTTATCCAACATCTTTCTGCTCGAAGGCTTTTCTACTTCTGTCTTTTTTTTTTCTTTCTTCAGCAGTACAAGCTGTTGTAGGTACCCGCGTAACTTTCTCTGCCTTTCTCGTGAACCTAGCTCGCCACCTTTCGGCTGTGTGCAGAGGCGAAGGACGGACTCTGTACACGTGCAAATGAGTACACTTGCAAGGCGTAAACATGTAGGCAGGCCATCCAATCATTTCATACATTTTTTACAGTAGTGTGGCCTCCACAGATAAGGATTTTTCTTTTTTTTGTCAGAGCATTTGATTTATTGATTGCTATCAGGATGTAAAGAGTATTTCAAGAAATATAACAAAAAATGTTTCTGAAATACATCACCTACTCTACCTCAACGTAGTTGGCTGTAAAGAAACAGAATAAAAATTCATAATCAGCGCATCCCTATTTGGTACAGCGTACACGTGTAGCCTAAATGAACCAATTCCAGCCCTGCTCAGGTTTGGGGACGATTAGCTGCTGTATAGCTAAAAGCTCTGTTGGTGCCAAAAGCAGATCAGTGCTGCAAGCTGCAGGGCACTGAGTACACTCACACAGCACGCACAGCACTGAACACAAAGTCACTCTGGTTACAACTTTTACTCAATAGCACTGTTCTACAACAAACCACTGTCATACCAAAATCTGCATATTAAAGTTACAAATCTCTCTCCTCCAGTTACCATTTTGCAGACATGAGGTTTTGTTATGTAACCACAATAAGATAAGCTGCCATTATTGCCATAATGATTTTTCTCAGTGAAGAATTTCCTCTGCAGTGATATGATGGAAGCTGTTGTTCAAAACTATTTTATTCCTTGTCTCAGTTGATCTTTATAATTAAAAGCTCTCCTGTACAGACATTAACGAGGGACTGAGAAATGACTGGGCAAAAGCAGAGTGGCTTCATTCACCATTATCCCATTAAAGAAGCTGTGGGGCTCCCACAGGAGCTTATAGCTTTCCACAGTGGACTAATATTCTAATTGCGGCCTTCAGAGCAGAGCCAAAGCTCTTCCTCGGCATGTTACTGCGAGTCCCTTCTCGTGGCTGTGGTTAAATGTTGCTACTGCTCTGACAGATCTACACTGGACGGGACGGCGAGGCCACTCCGCTGGTGTATTTTTGTCATCCTCTCCACCAGGACTCAGTACAGCCCTTATAAGTCAGCAGCACAGGCCAGGGAAGAGCTAGTTCTGTAACTGTGCCTCCACAGGAGAGGACAGTAAAGGTACGCTGAAAAGTTCACAAAGAAAAATGAGGCAGGAATGTTCTTAATGTGGTAAGAATAAAAACACAATGGCTCTTCAGGGAACTTGTGGGTTGAATCTGCCTAGTTTGCATAGTCAATAAAAAGGGATTTTACAGGTATACTCAGGTCTTAACAATGCACACAAACATTAAAAAGAAAAGCACAAAAAATGAACGTTTTATTGAGGTCAATGTGTCAACAGGAACCGTTTCTATTGATAATTTCCCAAAAACATTTCATATATGATTCCAGCAACCCCTATTTACATCTTGGGCCTTTATTTGTTAGGTTGAAAAAAAAAAAAAACCCTCAAAGGTTTATGCTTGTTTTTAACCCAAACATGTTTCCTTACTCAGTTATTGCCTGTAAACATCATAAATGGCAACAGAGAGAATTTGCACTGATCCCTTAACATATGAACAAGCGATGATGACTTATTAAAAGGTGGAACACTCAACATTCATGTCCCTTTCAGCTGCAGCCAGCGGCCTAAGCATTTGATCCTCCGTGGATTATCATAAGAGCCAAAACAATAAACAATAATCCTGCACAAGGGAGCTAATAAGCTGTCAATGATGAACATGTGCCACAGCCTGGAAGGCTATTCATTTTATACGGTCATCTGACAAGCAGCATACAACTCATTCGAAAGTAACAATACTTTTAAAGGGTCAAGAAAAGAAGCAGAGGTGAGCAGAGGAGCCTAAAACTATACTCAGGTGAAATAACTGCTATTTCAATTAAGTACACATAGAAAAACAACACGTAACACATCAGGTCCAACCACTCCATGCACTGCAGAGGAGCTTCATACATCCAGCATCTATCAGAACAGGAACTGAAGTTTGTTCGACTTCTGTTTTTGAGATCCCTTTGGGCTGGAATAAAATGATCAAGCTGTGTGAGCAACAGCAAAGCAGTCCAGGAGCAGAACCAACAGAACAGAATGACATTACACCTATTAAGAAAGAGGAATTACTCAAAAAGTCTGAGGACTAAAATAGCTAAAATGGAAGTGGGAAGAAACAGATTCCTTTCCTTACAGATATAGCTAAGCGTACATTTGCGAAGCAAATGAAGCAGAAGTAAAAGTAGGCTTCTTACCCTTTAAAATCACTCAGTGAAGAGTAAAGCCATCAAAATTGTACTTACACTGTACTCAAGTATATCTAAGAAAGTAAAATTACTAGATTACACCCAGCTGTGAAGGCAGAAACAGAAACATTAACTCCAACATTTGCCCACATGCAGACTACTGTATATGTATTTGAACAGCCACCTGATCTCCCTGAACTCATGACTGAAGGCCGCCCAGGTGAAGACATTACACTACAATGAACGTAAACCTGCTCAGAATGACCTGACCAAGCCTCAGACAGGCTCAAATGGCCAGAAATGTCAAATATAAGCACCTCTGGCTGAAAGCTGTGAAAGGAAAAATCAAACAGTCACCAGCTTCGCTGAAATATTCAACACTGCACTTGATACCACAGGCTACAGATGGTGGAATAAGACACCTGAGCAGGTATCTGATAGCGTAACGACACCGTCTGTGGTCAGCTTTCATTACCATAGTCCTGGGTGGTGAAACAAATGAGCACGTTATGAGTTACTCGCTCCAAAACGATGATAACTCAATGTAGTAACGCTAACGGCTGACTGACCAGCACATACCAAGTAACGTTAACTCACACAAGTCCTGCCAACTTACCACCGTCTGTCTGACTTTCTGCGACAGCTGCTGCAGCCCACAGGCTTCCCTTCGCCGGTTGTCGTATATTTGTGTATATCCGTGAACTTTATTCCAACCTTTAAAATGTATTTCTCAAAGGAAACTAGTCTGAAATAAAAACAACTCAAGTATTTGTTTCTCAGTGACTCCTTCTCTCGTTCCCTCAGCCGTTGCTACCGCGTTCGACCACAGCGCGTGAGCCTCCACAACACTTATAGTGGAGGGCGGGGCTTTGGCGGAACGGCAGCCAATCAGAAGTGAGGGCTGCCTTAAATGGTTTGTCGGCTTGGTTAAAACGTGGCTAATCCAGTGAAGAAATGAGATGAACTACTTTTCTTATTGTTTAACATTTGTTTATATGTATATTGAAATGGCAGGCGGATACACAGTAAGTCATTTCTTTATTCCCAGACACCATCGACACTGTTATGTTCCAAAGCAGGGCTAGCTAATGTGGCAGAATGTGTAGAAAACATGCAATGAAGGCCTTAGTTTATAAGGAAATGATTAGGAGAGGGTAGAATAGGTAGACAGCCATCACTTTCATGTTATTTCACCGCCCCCCAACCTGTGCCGAAGTTAAAAAAGTTCACTATAAGGTGATCAGTAATGTCTACCACTCAAGTGAGTTTTTGAGACTTAGATTTGGTTTTGAACAGAACACTTTTTTGTAAGAGTGACATTGATAATAATAATAATTATAATAATAAAAACACGACAAAAGATGGAAGAACAAAAGCAGCAGGCCAAAAACTACTTGGTGTTAAGCACTGAGTAACTCACACACACACACACACACATCATCTAAACCGCTTATCCTTCTGGGTCATGGTGGGGTGCCGGAGCCTATCCCAGCTATCATCGGGCGGCAGGCAGGAAACACCCTGGACAGGTCGCCAGTCGTACTGAGTAACTCATACAATAAAAAAAATAAATAAATAAATTAAAAAAAAATTAATAATAATAATAATAATTTATTTGTCCAGCATTTTTCATACATAAATGCAGCTCAAAGTGCTTCACAGAAGATTAAAAGACAAAAGAGATACATATTATATATGTATACATTATATTATACATACATGTATATATGCATACATGTATACATATATTTAAATGTATACCTGTATCTATCTATCTATCTATCTATCTATATATATATATATATATATATATATATACTCAAAAGAGATACAGGTATACATTTAAATAAGATCACATATAAAAGTAGGGGAAAAAACAAAAACTTAAAACATAAATTAAAAAATATCAGCAATTATAATAGAAATTTTAAATAAAGAAGAATTTAGAAAAATTCAAAATATTAATAAACTATTGTCACAAATGTAAACAATAATTGCAGTAATATGAATATTAAAAGTGAGTAAAAATTATGGAATCATAAAAAACAAAGTGGGTAAAATACGTTCCATTTTGTGGTGCATAAAAACAAAAGGCTGCCTCAACACTTCTTTTCTTGTTAACTTTTGGGACTGTAAGCAAGCCTACATTACTTGACCTTAAAGAACGATTTAGAACAGGCAGTCCTTTGGGTATGATGGTGCTAATCCATGTAACCCTTTGAAAATCAGCAGTACTACATTAAAATCTATCCTGAAAGAGACCTGAAGCCAGTGGGATGAAGCTAGAATTGGTGTGATATGCTGCTGTTGCTGTTAACACACTGGCTGCAGTGTTCTGGACAAACTGTAACTGATCAGACATCTTTATTGGTAAACAAGTAAACCAGTTACAGCAGTCAAGTCATGAGGAAATAAAAGCATCTGTCAATTTCTTAGCATAACTCAGACTAACATATGGTCTAACATGAGCAATGTTTCTCAAGTGAAAAATGTGACATGCTGTGATCTTCTCAGCACACCCAGCATCTATCAGCACAGGAGCTGAAGTCTGTTGGAACAAAAAAGAGATTCCTTTCCTCACTAATATACTTAAAGAGGAATTCCACTGATTTCTCTAAATTCCTACATAATTAAATGGTAAAAATGTAAACAGTCAATCAGAGTGATTAAATGTGAAATGCTCAATTTTAGAGAAACATATCCAGTCAGAATTGTTCACAGTGGTGGTGACAGGGACCAGACATCTGAAGTGTTAAAGGGGAATTCCACCAGTTTCATAAAATGTCTGCATAATTCAGTCACTGAGATGTAAACAAAGTCATTAAGAGTAGTTTGGTGTGAAATGGTTAATTTTAGAGAAATTTACAGACTCAGATTTCTTTACAGTGGTGGTGATAGGAACCAGGAGTCACAATGTCTACAACACAAATTTAGCCATTTTATTTACTATCAAAAACTGCCAGTGAACCTTCACAAGTCTTCTGAGTTTTTATATGTGATGTTCATGATGGTGAAATAAAGGTAAATCTTTAAAAAAATTCTTTACAACATCCTGCATAAACCTTTCTGCCATTAACTGATTTAAAATATGTGTTTTAGGCCAACATCTCGTTTCAAAACTATCGTAGAACAGTGTCTCAGGCATCAGGCAGTATATTTATAACTATTTCATGTAATAACTTTATTGTGGGGGAGCTTTTAGAGGCATTAAACTTCAGACGTCTGGTTCCTATCACCTATCTGTGAACAATTCTGAGTTAATAATTTTCTCTAGAATGGAGTATTTCACACCAAACCACTCTGAATGCCTTTAACCATTTAATTATGCACAACTTTTGCCTCTAAAAAAATGCCTCTAAAAGCTACCTCATGGAGTATAATTACAAAAAATTGTTGCAAATACAAATCTTTGTTTTATGATAGTTGTGAAATATAGTTTTGGCTTAAAAAGGTATTAAAAACATTCACATGGAAGGGGTACATACAGGGCACCGTAAGACAAAATAGTCTCCAAAGAAAATACAGTTTTTCTGGATTTACTTAAATTCACAACCCCTGGTTCCTATCACCACCACTGTAAAGAAATCTGAGTCAGTAAGTTTCTCTACAATACATCACTTCACATCAAACCACTCTAAGTGACTATGGCATGCGCCTGTCCCCCAGGCTCCGACGACGACCGCGAGAGCCGACAGGGAGGCGGGACCTGAACTTCGAGCGAGGACAAAGCCCAGCAAGGACGGCTGGGAGAGAACCATGAGTGAGCGCGGGACAGAGTGCATGCCATAGTGACTTTGTTTACATCTTAATGATTGAACTATGCAGAATTATGAGTCATTTGAGACTGGTTAGAAAAGTACAAATCATCAAAAATTGTTCTTGTGTAAATGAGTAAATGTTACTAGTTATTAAAAGGCAATAATAGCATAAACTTCAATAAAAGCTAGTTAAGTTAAAGCTTAGAAAGGAGTAGCACTAAATGAAAAATGAAATTTAGTGATTATAGTTGTAAAAGTTTGCCATGCACTACAGTAGGAAGCGCTTTGTGTAGCACACACACAAAGAAGGGGGGAGTCCTCTACAGCTCAGGTTTTATTGCTACTCACCAGCTGTCACAGAAGAGCTTCGGGTTCCAAAAACACTTCCTTCTGAGAAAGGACAAGCTTATGGAGTGACAACACACACTTAGACCTCATCCTCCATAAATAAAAACTAATTTACTAGAAACACCTACACTGTATGTCCACTCACTGTCCACTTTATGAGCTCCACTTACCTTATAGGTCCACTATGTAAATGTAAATTTACAGAATGCAGCCCAGCTGTTGTTGCACACATTTATTTCTTTATTTACTTAAAAAAGTAATTAGTTTATTAATTATTCCCGAAATTTCCCCACAATTTTATTTGTGTTCAGCACCACCCACTAGTTAGGTCTCTCCCCATCACACGATACTACCAGTGCTAGGAGGTTAAGGGTTACTGCTGCCACACAATTTGTCAGTCACTCTCTGCTTGGTCAGTTTCTGATAACAGGGTGTCTGCTGACCAGATATTGTATAGGTAGTGGGCCTTTCTCAATAAGCAAGGTAAAGTCGCAATATAGGGGTTTCTAAGTAATAAGTAGGTGTGAGAGTGGACTGAGTGTACTGCACAAAACATTTAATAAATTCAATTCAAATCTCAAAAACATAAACATTTATTTTACATCTCAACAACTAATTCATAGAGAAATTTTGAGAAGTCGGTGGAATCCCCCTTTACAAGGCTCTGCGTTAGAGAGGATTTGAAAGCTAACCGAACTTGTACACTGGCGCCATCTACTGGACAAAAAGGAGACGTGCCTGTTTAATAAAGACGGTCTATGAGTTCGAGTTATTTTTTTACGATCAGTTTAATCAGAGCTCAGATTATTATCATATGACGAAATGGATATGAAATATGAACAGATGACGACAATAAAACTGTGTATTTATTAAAAAGAAGGAAACCACAGTCAGAGGCAGTAATATTAGCACGGCTGCTAAAGTGAGTAAACAAACTGAGCACTATTTAACATTCGGGGTTGTAAGGCTCCTGTTTCAGTTACAGAGTCCGGAATTGTGCTCTGTCTCTTTAATAATGTGGCCATTCCGACCTAATGGTGGAAGCCAAAAGTCTTTTTCCGGTCCTTTTTTTCTCTCCTTCGTCAGTTTCCAAATAAACGAGTGCGGGCTGGGTCTTGTGAGGCAGGGCAGGATGGAAAGGCACGGTAAACGCAGCCTGCTCTTCGCCTTTCTGTCGCTCTGGCTTGGCTTGGTGGCCGAAGCTGACCCTTTGGGGCTGAGGGTCAGTGTGACCCGGGGTCAGATCTCCTTAAACGACATGCTGAAAGAAGTGGAGCAGCTGATGGAGGACACGCAGCACAAACTAGAGGAGGCTGTTCATCAGGTAGGAAGAGGAGCACCAGCATAGCAGCTCAAAGGGCCCTGCTGGAAAAACCTATAGTAACCATTAAGTGTTTCTGCTGGTTTATAATAGTTTTGTAATGTGTTTTGGCTTTTTTAATGGGTTGATATCACTATGTAAAGGATCCTAATGGTGTACCAGGTGACCAGTGGCTGATTCTAAGTGCATTTGATGGTTTCCTAATGCAATGTGAAGGTGTTCCACAGGGAACCGGTGGTCTCTGTTGGAAATCAGTTCCCATTAGAAAGCAAAATCATTAGGTTTTAATTCTAATGGATTGCAATGGTCCTTTTTCAGCAGGGGCAGAGCACATTTGAGCTCTAAGAATTAAACTATACAGTTAGATTCTCTTTAATGGTCATTAAAGTGGTCAGAAAAAAGTATTGGTTCCCATCCCGGTCACAGGGAGTGTGCACTTTGTCTCAGTATTTAATATGTGTAGTTTATTCTTTATGATTTTAGATAATAATGGTAATTCTAAGTAGTGCCAGCGAAAGTCAGTGATCAGTCTTTTTTATTTTAAATAATCATTAGTGAAAATGTCCTAATTAGTCTCTATTTTTCACTACCTTTTTTAAAATCTTGGCAGATAGAGCTCTACTTGGTTTATATCAGTTTACAAAATAAACGTAGCTGCTTCAGCTAAACTGCTGCTTTGTCCTCACTGGTCACTCCATGTTCAGATGGAGAATGAGACGTCCAGGGATTTGTATGGTTACAATCTGCTGTCCAGCTACCAGAACCAGAACACAACAGGAGTCCAGGTGGGCTTTCACACTTACATACTGATACTGTTGTCTTATATATAAGGATTACTTACTTGAGGGGAATTCCACCCGTGTTTTAAATTTACATTTAATTGCATAATTAAACGGTTAAGATATACATTGTTATTCATTGCCTTTCAGAGTGGTTTGATTCAAAATGATCCATTATAGGGAAACTTTCCGATTCAGAATTGTTTACAGTGGTGGTGATTGGGACCAGACGTCTGCCTCTGAAAGCTAAATCACAGACAGTTGTTACATAATGATAATGATAATGTTACGGATCTGCTGCCTGATGCCTGAAACATGGTTATACAAGATTTTTGAGAAGGTTTTGGCCATGGATTTTTTTATAGGACCACTTTTTACCATAATCATCACATATAAAGACTTACAAGACACATATTGGTTCACTGGTGATTTTGGATAGTGAATGAAATGACTGTGTTGTAGACATTATGACCCCTGGTTCCTATCACCACCACCTAAAATCACAGTGGGCAATTTCTTTACAGTGAACCATTTCACATCAAAACAATCTGAAAGACTTTATTTACATCTCAACAATTGAATTAGGCAGAAATTTTTAAAAAATCCATGGACTTCCCCTTTAAAATTTTAGATTATAATTTGCATCACATTTATGAGTGTCTGTGTAGGGGCCGGTAAATTTGCCATATGCTTTTAAAACACATAGTAACAATTCCCTGTGCACAGATTAACTCCAGTGTAATTTAGCTCGGGGCTCAATAGACGTCTGTCAGACTGGTTCAGTCCATAACGGACATCTGTAAGTTATTAGTGTAGTTGCTTTGGTTTCTTTGCTGATCGCACCTGGTTTTGTCCACTCAAGGAAACAGACGGTCAGACCTTCTCCAGAACCCTCTTTCAGGAAGGACGCTGGAACGAGGTGGACCATGTGAGTACATATTCACAGTTACAACATCTTTAGCACGAACCCAAAACAGTGCGATCTTAGTCATAGCTTCTCAGCCACAAAGAAACATCTGGATTTGTTCAGGAAATGAGATGTTTTTATTGATGTTATGTTGTTATTTGATGCGGTTAATTAACATTATGAGATCAATATTAACAGATGGGAGTCACTGGCCTGTAAAACAGTCATTACTTTAAGTTTGTAGAGTGTAGTGTTTTAAAGGCCGTTACCAAGACATCTCATGACCTGCTTTTATATATTGCCATTTCAAAGATATCATCTCGATCATATCAGAAGATTCTTTTGGACAGTAAAAGTTCTCATGTAAGAACCCTTTCTAGCAGTTTTTTTATATGAAAGTAGACCAAAAACAATGTCAACCTGGCACTAACTTCTTTAAATAAAGAACTAAAAGTATCGAAAGTGATGATACTGAATTGTTGCCACATCACAGCACTTGGAATTAAATATTGTTATATTGAAAGACCCATATTCTACCTTTTTCTTGTGTTTTATTATGATATTTGTATGGTTTTATATACTAAAAACAGTCATAATTCATTTTTTCAATGGACATTTTCCAACCTCCTTTTTAACCCTTAGAATTAAACAAGCTGTTTTCAGTTATTGAGTGTTCATACTTGTCATTCAGTTTTTGACATGATTTGAAAATGCCTGTTCCCCTTTACATTGTGTGGAAATCTCATGATGAAAGGACCAAAAGAAACGGCCCAAAATTACTCTGAAAAAGTCTGGTTCCATTGACTTACATTAAAAGTAAAGTATGTTTTTTCCTTCTCCTGTAAGGTTACCATTTTGGAAATACGAGGTTTTGTTCGTATGTATCTATGTATGTATGTGTGTATGTATGTATGTATTTATTTGCGGATCCATAAGTGTGTTGATGAATTATAACAGGCTGTTTTTGCTGCTTAGTTTCTGCATATAGATTGTGTGGACTGGGTAATAAATGGTACATAGTAAGTTCAGTTTTCCATGACTGAGGGGTGCTTTAAAGTTGAGTACTTACTGTCACTCTTCTGTAACGTTGCTGTTATAGTCTAAGGTTTTGTTCCGACAGTGGCAAAATGCAGTGGTCATTCTCTTTCCATAAGGGGAGCTGACGTAAGTGTTTTGAGCTATGAGTCTCTGTATATGAATGGACATTCACTAAGCTGCTAATACTGGCTCATAAAACGTGTACATGCTGCGAGAAGCTGTAGACCTCTGGACTGAGCCGCCGAAGGGCAGATGGTAGATGTCCGGCCTTTTTGCTCTCTGCTGTCAGCACACAAACACTTTCCAAGCGTGACTCACATGCTGCATGATTCAACGTTTACCCCTACATACGTCTCCTACCCAGGGCTGCGTCTCTGCTTGTAAACTCTGAAGAGGTTTATTAGGCTGGGGACGTGTATTTTTGAGACTACAGGAGGAAAGTCACTGCCACGACTTCAAAACCGAGTTGTTCTAATTGTTCTTGCATGTTCTGACACTTTTGAAACACTTCATGCAGAGTCAGCTTTGTAGCAGGTATATGAAATGAAAGTTCCCAGTTCCGTGTGCTGTAAAGTGCGACACAGTGAAGGAAGCAGTAATGTGATGCCGTACACTGCCAGTGAGCGCGGCAGCAAAATGGTTTTATTCCACAGCTGGCAGTGCTGTTAGCGCTTTCAGTGGCCGTGTTGTGGTGTGTCCGCTGGCAGCGGGACAGAGCATGGTGGGATTAGATAGACTGGAAGGAATGCATGGAAAGCTCAGGCTGAATGAGTGTGGTTAGGACTCGTGGCACTAATAGCTCTGCCGTGATGCCATTCTCTGAGAATCTGCTAGCATTGCATTACAAAGAAATCCTTAGTATTTTATTGAATTCATTATTTTCATCAATGTTTGCTTTTCCTTTTCCACTGCTACAGCATCAAATTGGAATGACTGAGTGGGTTAAATAATGGAGGAGGTTAATTTAGAATAAGATCTTTGTTACAGGATCATTGGTTTCTTCCTTGAACATTTACTGTAAATTTGTAAAAAAAAATCTCAGGATTAAAGGCCAATTCCACATATTTATTTTTTTTTATACAGTTCCTGTTATGCAATTATTGATATGTAAGTAGTCGTTCAGAGTTGTTGGATGTGAAATGGTTCATGGAAACTTACCAACTCAGAATTCTTTACAGTGGTGGTGATAGGAACCAGGCGGTATGACGTCTTCAATGCAAATATCATTTTATTTATTATCCAAAATGCCCAATGAACCCACACATGTTTTCTGAGTATTTATATGTAATGTTGTTTATGGTAAAATTGTAGTAAATCTGAAAAAATTCATTGAATTCATTGTTTACGTGCACTCAATAATCCGATCATAATCGGATTTCTGCAGTTATCCGAATATTCAATCATGTCAACACCATACTCCGATCTAGAAATCCGATTAAGAAATCCGATAAAGAGAGCTGGATTTTAGCTCAGTAATCAGATTTCTCAGTGCATGTAAACTCTTACTTTCTTTCGGATTCCTCAGTCGGCGAATGTGCGGAACAGACTGCTGTACCGGAAATAAGCGAGCAGCGTTGCCACAAGAGGGCAGCAAAACAGTTTTTGGGGCGATGCTAAAACCAACTACATGCATGACGAATTGAAGGAAAAAAGCTGCAGCATGAAGTTTTACATTACATTTAGGTCACGTCTTCTTCTGTGAGTTTATTGGCTGGTTGCAAAGCAGAAATCCGATTATTATTTGAATCATGTAGACCTGGAGTTCATCATTATCTGATAACTCAAATGCATATAAACACCTTGATCGTATTACTGACAAAATCAGATTTTCTGCAGTTATTGGATTATTACATGCATGTAAATGCACTCATTTTCTTGTGGACTATTTTGCCTTACAATGCCCTGCATGTACCCCTCCACCATGAATAAATTTTTTCTTTAAAAATATGTTTTAGGCCAAAACCTGCTTTCAGAACTATCATAAAAACATTGATGACACAAGTAACCATTTTGTGTAATAACTTTATATTAGGTAGCTTTAAGAGGCATTAAACCCTTTTTTTTCTAGAATGGAGCATCAAAACACTCTGAATGACTTTGTCTTCATCTTAAAGATTTGATTATGTAGAATTTTTAAAAAAAATTGGTGGAGTTGCCCTTTAAGGTTTGAGATGAAAGATGGTAAGAAAAGTATTGGAATTAGCCTTTAAACTTGCCTTGCATGCATGATAAGAACAAATCTTCATCTAATCCCCATATTCTAGTCATTTGTTCAGTATATTGTGGCCATGTAATGTTTGCTTGCTTTAAACTCTACTATGATAACTGAAACATAGCTTTTAGTAATTAAATTCAAACTGCACTACAGTAAAATTAGTGAAACATTAGTTCACAGTGAGTTGATGAAAACTAGCGCAACGTGACTAATTTTGTGTTGGTGTAAATTACTACTGTCTCGATGAGTCATTTAACTCACTCTTTTTAATTCTGAACCTTCTGAACCGGAGCTAAAAGTTGCAGTTGAGCTTTGTAGTTGCTGTTTTGTTCGCTCTGTTAACAGGGTTGTGATTGATGGGGTCGGGATGTGTAGGAAACATTTGCCAGGCTGCAGTTTTTCTTCAAATGACTCATTTGGAAAAGCCTCCCACACCAGTCTAGACTCTGTAACTGTAGAGGCAGCTTTGATCTCAGTCGTGTGGTGGCATGGTACCTCCCTGTAACAGCTCACAAACCACGGTATATAAATTATATACACAGTGTATCATTATATCCCAGCACGTTCTGGCTTAGGCAGTGTTGAGGTGATTCTAGTAGATGTGATAAGATCTCCACGCAGCTGAAAAAGCACAAAGGAAACTCTTTCAGACTACCAACAACTGTGTATTGTGGTATTATTTAGATTAGATTGGTGGAGTTCTTATGCAGCTGGGGAAAACAGTGAGGAGACTGTTTCAGCACACCTGGTTTGACTTAGTAAACTGAGGAGCTAAATCAGTTGTGTTGGCTTGGGGAAATGCTCAAGCGTGGGTCCTCATGAAGAGATTAGAATTTAGTTACAACAGTAATCTGACCCACCTGACTCTAATATTCAGATATTTCCATGTTAAATTAGGGTTGGATGTCAATTCAGTGTTAACCATGGAAATGGATGTTGCGTAACCATGGAAAAGTGGTATAATATAAGCATGGGAATGGGTGTATAATAACTAAGAATACATAGTGATATCATGATCATATCAGTATTGGCAGATTATTTGCTTAAAAATACCTGCACTGGACAGATGTTCATGAGGCCAGTTTGAGACGACTTTTGCCTTGTAATATCGAACATTACCATGCTGGAAGTAGCCATTAGAAGATGGTAAATTGTGGCCATAAAATGATGCACATGGTCAGCAACAATACTCTAATAGACTGTGGCATTCAAGAGATGATTGATTGGTATTAACGAGCCCAAAGTGTGCCAAGAAAACATTCCCCACACCACTACACCACCTCCACCAGCCTGGACTGTTGACAGGGTTGTGTCCATGGATTCATGCTGTTGGTGCCAAATTCTGACCCTACCATCTGCCTCAGCAGAAATCAAGATTCATCAGACCAGGCTACGTTTTTCCAGTCTTTAACTGTCCAGTTTTGGTGAGTCTGCCCACTGTAGCCTCAGTTTTCTGTTCTTGGTTGACAGAAGTGGAGCCAGACATGGTCTTCTGCTGTTGTAGCCCATCCACCTAAAAGTTTGACATGCTGTGCTTCCTGAGATGCTTTTCTGCTCAGAGTGGTTATCTGCGTTACTGTAGCCTTCCTGTCAGCGTGACCTGTCTGGCCAGTCTCTGTTGATCTCTCTCATCAACAAGGTGTTTCTATCTGCCGAACTGATGCTTACTGGATGTTTTTTATTTATTGCATAATTGTGAGTAACTCTAGAGACAGTTGTGCTTGAAAATCTGAGGAGATCAGCAGTTATAGAAATACTCAGACCAGCCTGGCACCAACAATCATGCCACGGTCAAAATCACCGAGATCACATTTTTTCCCCATTCTGATGGTGGATGTGAACATTACCTGAAACTGCTGGCGCCCTATCTGCATTATGCACTGCACTGTTGCCACACAATTGGCTTATTATTATTGTACTCTGGAAGAGTAGAATGCTTGGGTGATGCTGGACTATTATGCTAAAATGTCTGCACTTTATCCATTTTACTGCTTTTGTAACCCAAATTTCTAAGGTGGATCCCAATTTCTACATTTTATCAATGTTTATGATTGTTGGTACAGATATGTACATATAAAGTGGCAGTTGTTGACATTTCCTATATTGGTGCATCCCTAATAATAACCATGCAAATGGGTGTACGGTAACCATGGAAATGGGTGTATCCAGAGACATTATAAGGGGGTAGACAGGTCACTTGTTTAAAAGTGAATGGGAAATCTCCTAACACTCAACATGGCGTCTGTTTACGTGGAAAGTCTTGCCTTTCAGTAAAAAAAGCTGCCAGTCAGCTTGTTGGTAAAGTCACAAGCAGGAAAAACTCCCCCTTGTTGTTGAGATATGCACATCCGCAGCAGCCAGAACAAGCTGAGAAAATATTTTGATGAGTTATTACAGCCAAATGGTGCAAACTGTTTATGCTAGGGCTGTGTTTGAGTAGAGAATCTACCAAATTGTGCTGGCCCTCCAGGACCGGAGTTCTGTACCCCTGGGGTAGCGTAACAATGGAAATGGGTAGCATTACCGTGGAAATGGGTGTTCAGACGAACTACTCAACCCATGTTAAAATTCTGTTTCTGTCATCAGATTAAGACAGTAAGAGGAGACCTGCGCTATGTATCAGTTTCTCCTGAACCTCTAGCTAACTTTGAAAGTGGGAGGAGGGGCAAAAACTAGAGTTTGAGAAGTGGTCCACAGTGCAAACTACCCTTCATCCTTAAGTTCCCTATCCTACGCATTTCATCATGTAGCGAGTGACTGGATTTTTATAGCATAGTATCGTCTCAGATACTTGAATGCTAACAAATCACGCTGCGCATGGAGAACATCTGTGTAAACAACCACCAATTTTCATATCAAAAATTAGTTTGTCCTAAACTTTTTGCTCCAAATGTTTATCAGTGGTCTTACTTCGTCTTGCCATCTTGAAAATTTCAAACTGCAGCTTTCCCGCACTACGTATGGCAGCCTGTGGGTGCTCAGCGCCTTTTTCAGCAGTTCTAGTACATTGTCTGGGTATTAACTACATTCCATATAAACTACATTCTGCTTCATTTTCCACTGTGAACACACAGCCTGCACTACAAGTGTCTCATACATTTCTGCCAAACATTGACTGACATTGAGCTTTTTTAAGTCTTCACAGGTTGAAGAAATGGCTCACTAAACTGTTTCCAATACTTTCCTACTTTTCTGCACTTCAGAGTGTAAAAATAAGGCTTTTACTGTGAAATTGTACTAGACATGGCAAGATGCCAAGTGAGGCGGCTCTTGGTTTCTTTAGGGGGAGTAAAGTGTTTTTCTGTTAATGTAGGTGGGCTGTTGTTCTGATTGTGAGTCCCTCTAGAGTTTCGTTTGGGTGGAGAAATGCTAGTTTGGAATTTCCTGACATGGGAGTGTAGGCTAGAACATGCACACAAATAATGCTCAGGTTCTGCGTCTGTCCATGTTGGTTTCCATACCCTTTTTTTCTTAGCCTCTCTCATTATATGAAGTGATAATTAGTTATGCAGCACCAGAACAAAGGCGTCCGTACTAGTTTGACCACAGTGTGTGTATTGTGTCTCTGTAGGAGTGCCTAATTGATGAAGACTGTGGGCAGGACAGCTATTGTCTGTACAACATTAGCAGCTCCAAGTGCATTCCCTGCAAGTCCACCAGCACGGTGAGTGATTTTCCAAATCCGAAACGCAGCGTCCCGTTTCTCATGGAATTTACGCTCTGTCTCCGCCCACATGTCTGCTTACAGGAGTGTGTGAAGGATGAGGAGTGTTGCGGAGAGCAGCTGTGTGTGTGGGGTCTCTGTGCACAGAACAAAACCAGAGGACAGTCGGGCACAATCTGCCAGGCCCAGAGCGACTGCAGCCCGCAGCACTGCTGCGCCTTTCACAAAGGTAACGGTCACTGGATCGCAGCGCCATTCACAGCACCTTCAGAAACATTCCAAAATCACTGTAGCGCTGAAATCAACTGGGCTATTAGCGAGCATGTTGTACAGTCTTACAGAGGTCTTTGAGTTACAGTGCCTATAAGATTGTCTATAACTTTATAATTAACTTGTCAGTGAACTTCCAACAGACAGAATGATTGTTAGACAGATAGATGGACATAGACAAGTAGACAGATATTGATAAATAGATAGGGTAGGTAGAGGGACAGGTTGACCAACAAATACACAGAAATATGGATGGATGGATGGATGGATGAACAATCAGACAGGTATACAGAAAGACAGACATATAGATAGATAGATAGATAGATAGATAGATAGAGGGACAGGTTGAAGGATAGGTACACAGATGGACAGACATAGATAGATAGAGGGACAGGTTGAAGGATAGGTACACAGACAGACAGACATACGGATGGATGGATGGATGGATGGATAGATAGATAGATGGATAGATAGATAGAGATAGATTGATTGATTGATAGGTAGATAGAGGGACAGGTAGATGGACAGCTACACAGACAGACATATGGATGGATGGATAAAACGATAGGTAGATAGACACATAGAAAGATAGATAGAGGGACAGGTAGACGGCCAGTTACACAGACGGACAGACATATGACTGGATGGATAGACAGAGGGACAGGTTGACAGACAGGTACACAGACAGACATATGGATGGATGGATAGATAGATTGATAGGTCAATAGAGGGACATGTTGATGGACTGGTTTACAGACAGACATGGATGGATGGAAGGATGGATAGATAGGGAAATTGATTGATAGAAGACAGGTAATTAGATAGATAGATAGATAGATAGATAGAGAGATATATGAGTAATTAGATTAATAGATTTGATATATTTAGATTTGAATATATTTAGAAAATATATTACATAAACATAATTACTGCCAAAAGTCATCTGAAAGATGAAATTATGTTGATGTAAAGTGTTTTCTTTGTGGAAACGATGTACACCTCTGATTTAACTACATTAAACGCAGCACTTTTTCTGAATGTATGCATGTATTTATGGATAGATTTGTTTATCACTTCATAATTTCACCACTATAAAACTGAAAGGGTGAGTTATGTAACATAGTTTGATACAAAATACTGTGACTTGATTCATCCTTCAGCAAAAATACCAGGAATGATTTTGCACTGAAAAACTCAAAAACTGCCCAAAAGTAATTTAATCTGGTCAAAGGGTAATTTTATTTTTTTTCTCCTTAAAATGAAAAAAATGTTGTCTGGGGAAGAAACAAGAACACTCCGCAGTTCTACATTCCAAGTTCAAGCTCTACACAAATCATTTTCATTTGCCAGCTGTAGTATTTTCCCATGACAGATATGTAAATCGTGAGCGCTGTGCAGAGGGAATAAGGCTATTGAGCTCATTCTCAGTGCAGCCCAGAGCTGCAGCCACAAAACCACACACAGATAGCTGCAAATCTCTCCAGGTTCCAGATCGTCTGTCCTCTCCTCTCTTCTACTGCACTCTCTTCTGCTTTCCTGCGTGCCTTCTCCACCCCCTCATTTCTCTCAGCCGCACTCACTGGCCCCGTCCACAGTCTCTTGGCTTTTCTTTCTTCAGTGACCATCTTCTCTTCTCCTTCTGCTGTTTTAACTCTCTTACCTCGCCTCATTATGTCACAGTGAAAGTGCTGATTTAAGATGTGCTCCATCTTTCTAATAGCATTGCATTCAATAATAGAGAGAAAGGAGGAAAAAATCAATAGTTTATAGTGCTGCAATATTTTAGATGAAAAACATAGATGCCCAAGCATTCACCTTTTTTAAAATTATTAGTATTTTTAATGCATATTAAGCCCATGGACTAATGGGAGACCACTATTTTATTAATCCACTTGGTGGCGCCGTTTTTTTCCCTGCTTCTTTGCAGTCTAATGTGATAAATCTCTTAACAAAACATAGCAGAAGTCTTTAAAGTTGACTCGTATTGTGGCTCAATATAATACTGTGTTGTAGTATTGTACACCGATCAGGCATAACATTATGACCACCTCCTTGTTTCTACGCTCATTGTCCATTTTATCAGCTCCACTTACTATATAGGTGCACTTTGTAGTTCTACAGTTACAGACTGTAGTCCATCTGTTTCTCTGCATACTTTGTTAGCCTCCTTTTACCCTGTTCTTCAGTGGTCAGGACCCTCATGGACCCTCACAGAGCAGGTACTATTTGGGTGGTGGATCATTCTCAGCACTGCAGTAACACTGATGTGGTGGTGGTGGTGGTGTGTTAGTGTGTGTTGTGCTGGTCTGAGTGGATCAGACACAGCAGTGCTGCTGGAGTTTTTAAACACCTCAGTGTCGCTGCTGGACTGAGAATAGTCCACCAACCAAAAATATCCAGCCAACAGCGTCCTGTGGGCACTGATGAAGGACTAGAGGATGACCAACACAAACTGTGCAGCAGCAGATGAGCAGCAGATACATCTACAAGGTGGACCAACAAGGTAGGAGTGTCTAATAGAGTGGACAGTGAGTGGACAGTGTTTAAAAACTCCAGCAGCACTGCTGTGTCTGATCCACTCGTACCAGCACAACACACACCAACACACCACCACCACATCAGTGTTACTGCAGTGCTGAGAATGATCCACCACCATGATCCACTGCTCTGTGAGGGTCCATGGGGGTCCTGACCACTGAAGAACAGGGTAAAAGGGGGCTAACAAAGTATGCAGAGAAACAGATGGACTACAGTCTGTAACTGTAGAACTACAAAGTGCACCTATATAGTAAGAGGAGCTGATAAAATGGACAATGAGCGTAGAAACGAGGAGGTGGTCATAATGTTATGCCTGATCGGTGTATAATAATATAGTAATGTGGGGTCTCTTGTGATTTGCCCCTCTTTTCACTCACCACATAAAAAGTGAAAAACGTCTCAAGGGGTCAGGATAAGAGTGCTGAGCTATTATCAGCTCCCCTGCCCTTATTCTTGTAGTCATTCTGGTATGATTTAGGTCATTAGACGAAAATTGAGTGTAGAACCCTTTGGTCCTGATCTAAATATCACTCCCCGTCTGTCTCTCTTTCTCCCTCTAATTCTAATGGAAAGGTCATTTGGCTCATTAGAACCCTTCTCTTGTTCTCTTTCCCTCTGAACAGCTCTGCTCTTCCCGGTGTGTCGGCCGAGGCCTCAGCAGGGTCAGGGTTGTCATGAGCAACCAAATCAGCTGCTGGAGCTGCTGCTGTGGGACGAGGAAGCTCCTTGTGAGCACTGCCCATGTGCTACAGGCCTGCAGTGCCAACCAGTGGGGTACGTCTACATAAACACGTTTGTACCTATATTTAATGACAATATATACTGTATGTATATATATATATATATATATATGAGTACCTATATATATATATATATATATATATGAGTAGGTTAAGTTAGCTTTGTTTTCTCTAGTTTTACTACAAAGTTTGGGCATTTCTGTGTCCTGTACTGCTTATCAGTAACACATTTTGGTTTAATTGCTTCTACTTGACATTAATTCAAGCCCATATTTGAGAAAGTGTACCTGAAAATATCCTATACATAAAATCTTATTGGACCAAGTATGCAGTTTTATCAGTATATCATTGCTGTAGAAACAAAACCATTTTTCCTTTTTTTTTCATATTTCCACACTTGAAAACAGCAGTTGCACTTTACATTGGTCCAATCCCATTTCTTATTTTTACCCCTACCCCTTGTTTTCGAGTGTCACCTTGCCCCTTGGAGTTAAAAGGGGTAGTGGTTGAAATCTTCACCTCAAATAAAAAAGAACATTACTTCATTAACAGGCTACTAGCGGTGCTCTGTAGACGACCCTGCCAGAGGAGGGTAAAGTTCAGCAACCTCACTGCTGGTCTTTAGTTAAATTTAGGGAATCATGTGCTTTCAAAGAGGGGGGATGTGACAGTTATTCATTATCGCCCACCCCTAATTCTTCAGTGATATGAAGCTGAAGTCAGATATTCACCAGCTGCTTCTTTGAATTTTCCCGTTCCACCTTAAATGGTGCAGCAGTTCTGACAGCTGAGGCACCAGAATGTAACTGCTGCACCATTTAGTGTGGAACAGGAAATTTAGAAAAGGACCATAATACATTGAAACAACATTAAACTAAGACAATACAATGGTTATTGTAATTTTTAACAAAGAAAATACTCACATCTCGCTGTTTTTTTCTTTTTTCCCCACAGTACTCTTTTTGGAGTGTGATTCTGAAAAACCTCAGTTTCGAGGGCTATGTAGCCCTAACACTTCACCCTACCCCTCTATCTCAACAAAAATCAGGACACCGTACCCCTACACGTAATCGTGTAAAACAGAGGGGTGAGGGTTAAGTGGTAGGGGCGAGGGGTGAAATGGGATTGGGCCTTAGTGTTAAAATTTCTTGAATGGACCGACACTAATGGTTCAGTATGTCTTAGAAAAAGATCTTACTGCATTAACTTCTATTTAATGTTAAGAATGTTTTTTTTCTTGTCCTGTAAAGCTACTTTGTTTTGTTTTTTTGTTCCAACAGCAACAACAATGATAAAATGTGTACTGAAATTTTACTTGCATGTTTTTCTGTTATAGCCAGGAATCCAAGTGTGTGAACCAGAGGAGCTCATCTGGGAGAGGAGAATGAATGGTTTCCAGTAACTGGTAAAAGGCCAGACAATGGCTCTCAGCAATACATTTAATGGGATTTTGCTTTTAAAAGGTTCTTTTTGTAGTGTTTTATGTGAATATTACAATTTATATAACATTGTAATTGAGTTTGATATAAATATTTATAAATGTTGGAACCATATAGACTCCAAGATATGATTAAATGCCTGTTATGTAACTCCAGATGACTAGATTTTTTTAAGACTCAAAAGCTTTGATGACTTTTTTTTCTTTTGAATAGGGGTTTAGTGCCAGAAGTAATATGCGCAGATGCACTTTTTCTGGGTCAGTTATGAAGGGATTTAACCCTTGTGTGGTGTTGATGTGTTTGTTACTCAGTGGTCTGGTGGACCCACCACATTATTGGTTATGTAAATGAATACAGCCATAACGATTTATGTTAAACACCAAAGGTTTAAAATATCACAAGTGGCCAGCGTAGGGTTCTCCTTTAGCAGCTGTAGCCAGTCAGCAGCCTGTCCATGTTGTCCACCCTCTCACACAAACACATACACACATAGACACACATAGACACACACACACACACACTAACAGCAGGCCATGTAGGAGGAGAACAGAGTGAAGGACACAACACCTCCACACTTTTATTCCCCGCAGGTTCACCCAACACCATGTGTAATATAAATGTGTGGGGGGTGAACAGAGTGAAGACACTGAAAATGTGTTATTTTATATATTCTTCACAGAAAATGAGCAAAGGCCAAGAAATCTGAGGTTGAAATAATAATAAATTGCATCATTTTTTATTTTGGTAATCATTGAAAATGGGTCCCACAGACCCCAACACCACACAAGGGCTAAACTGAAATAAAATGTTAAATTACTGATATCTAAAGGTGTACTTGTAGAGCAGGGGTGTCCAGTTTTAGTCGCAAAGGGGCGGTGTGGCTACAGGTTTTCATTCCAGCAAAGCTGGAGCACACCTGGTTCCACTTTTCAATCTGGCTTCAGTCTCCAAACTGCTGATCATGTGAGCTCCTGCTTTGCTGGAATGAAAACCTGCAGCCACGCCGGCCCTTTGTGGATAAGATTGAACACCCCCCGTTGTAGAGTGTTTACATGAACACTAGATGGCAGCATACAATCATTTGAAAAGCACAGAGCATGCACTAAGTGGACTCATTAATGGCCGTTTGACCTGGACTGAATCCCAGTAAGGCATGTGACATTACTAAACATTACTGAGTGACTCATCATAAGTACCTATTCTAGTCTGGCATTACTGTATTCATTCAGTTCTTCACGCATTCAAGAATCACGACTGCAGTGCTTTTACACAGTTTATAAAGCACAGATTTATCCACACATAGACAACTCAAAGTTAATTTCACATAGTTTATTCCTTTTTTTTTGGTTTACAACCACAAGGCACCCATTGATTTTCCTATTGACATTGACTGTGGCAATAAACATCCTCCACAAAAACCTCCTACGGCCTGACAAAGACTTGCAGTAAATTGTTAAGAAACTTACTCATTGGATCGTTTTTGGGAACACGATTCATTTACGACGGTGATATTAATTTCAGGGGAACCAGATAACATCCAGATAAGGCAGACAAACAGCAAAAAGGACAATGACTCTATTGGCTTTGTCAAGGCCTCAGCATCAGATCACACCTGCTATAGCAGTAGGACAAAAACCCTGGGAATAATCGCAGCTGTGAAATGCCCTTTGAAGTGAGGACATGGTCAGTGACATCATGACCCCAAAGCAACATTCAACAGTGTGTCAAAGGAAGCGTACAAATGGAATGAGTTTAGAAGAAGCACAAAAAACTTCTATCATTTGTTACATAAGAGGAATTTCACCCAAAAGTAGATTTTTTTAAATTATTATTTCAACAGAATAAAATGTGGTGGGTTTTAGAAACGACCTCACATACAGATCTATATTTAGACCTGTACTGATTATATAGGAATGAGGCGGCCTCATTAATTGATGGTACAAGAATAGTCTTGCGAATGATCCCAAATATATGGCTTTCTGAACTGACAAGCTGGCATGTGAATATTTAGCCAAGGAAAACAAAATTCAGAATGAAACAGTTTTCTGTACAGGAGTGAGTGAGGCTTGACATGGAAAGGCACAATATACATCCAAAAGTTTGTAGCTACCTGCTAATCCAGTGGTTCTGTAGTAGTACTAATAGGAGGTTTGTCATTCAGGTCATTCAGCCACAAAAGCGTGAGTGAGGTCAGGTTACTGATGTTCTGGATCACCAACCAATCCCAAAGGTATCGAATGGAGCTCCATCACTCCAAAGTTCCACTACTTCACAGCCCCGTGCTGGGGGGCTTTACCCTCTAGTCGACGCCTGGCATTAAGGCTGATCCAGAGCGTCGCATTCCAGTGGTCAGTGTCTTTCTGTGGAGATTATACAAGCTGTGCGCTTTGTGTCAGCAATGGGTGCGTCTTAAAGGGTGAACTCAAAATTCACGCATAATTAAATTAATAACAGTGCAAACCAAGTCACTCAGAATGGTCTGATGTAAAACGCTGTTTGAGAAAAGCTTTCACAGAACTGTTCACAGTGGTGGTGATAGGAACCAGATATCTGAGGAGTTTAATGCTCCTAAAAGCTTCCTCACAGTAAGTTATTACATGAAATGATCACGAATGCATGTAAGACATTGTTTTATGTCAGTAAAAACATACATTCACAGTGGATAAATGCAGACCATTGTAAGGCAAATCAGTGCCCAAACAAAACCTTTATTTTTTTTTTTTCAGATTTATCACTATTTATCCACCATCTGCATTACATATACAATCAGAAGACACGTAAGTTCACTGGTGATTTTTTTATAGTAAATAAAATGGCTGTATTTGTGTTGTAGACATTGTGACCCCTGGTTCCTATCACCACCACTGGAATCACTACTGTGTACCATTTCACTTTAAACCACTCTGAATGACTTTACATCTCAGTGACTGAATTCTGGAGACTTTGAAAAATCAATAGAATCTCCTTTAAAGTAGCTTAAGTTACTAATTACAAGGGCTGTCTGAATACTTGTGGACATAAATCGTATAAAGAAAGTTCTGGTAACATTTACAGACATGCATTGCTGCTTGAAGCTTTAATATTCTCCTTATATCTCTGCTGATGCTTAGACATTTACATTTATTTGCCTTAATTCAAATGCATTGGCTTCTTGCTCCTGTGATGTAACCCTTCCCACCAATAGCACTTCATCCTGATACATATTAGAAATGATTTTCAAAAATTTTTGAAGTCCTTCTAAATTTTTTGCCTGTTCTGGTGTATTTAAATGACACTGAGTGACCACATTGCACCATATGATGCCCTCCACCCTCAAATTTCCTCAATCCACTGCTTCAGTACATTTGTAGGCCTGATTTTTGTTGTTCTCTTTTTTTATTAATGCATTTTTGCATTAAGTATTTTTGTGCATTTTAATATTTGTAATGTACAGCAGGGCCCCTGCAAATGTAGCTTTGGTATTAGTTGGGTTTTCCTGCATAGGCTTCAGTCACCACTGTTTTTGTATTAAAAATAGTTATGAATACCTGCACACATTTAAAAAATCTGCATTTGGGCGGAATTCCCCTTTAGAAACCCTGAATACCCAGAACAGTCAAGCTTATTAGCACTGTACCACTCTTTTCCCCATCTCCCATGTTTTAAAAGACATTCCAGAAGAAGCAGTAATATCGATATCAGCACTGACACTGTGTTATTAGAGAGGACAGGCTGCTCCATCACTTCACTAGATGGTAAACTACACCCATCATTAGCACTTCTAGGTATGATTTTACGCTGTCTAGGCTGGTGTAACAGACGTACATTCAGAGAAACATGAGCACAGTAGAAATAACAGTAACACGATGCGCATGTGACCGTAGGAGAATAAAATACATTATACAGTATATCTCCTAAAGTCTATTTCCTTCATAAATAAATAGCCTCTCTATATTTATTAAAGCATGAAAATGCTCTGTAATGAAACAGCAGTGTTACTTTTCTGTTATGTTGTACACAAATGGATTAGAAAAAACAGAATTGCTTTTTTTTTTCCCCTTCCAAAAATGTTATCAACATTCAGGCACAGTTCACAAACGTGGCCTTATTATGGATAAATGACTGGTCTGAATGCTCCTATGATATGGATTCAGCCTGTATCTGTTGCAGAGTGTTCACATTTTTTTTTGTGAAGTGACCAGAGTCACAGTTCTCATTCACAGCTATGGGACCTGGAAGAAAACGTCCGCTTGAGCAGAAAGGAAACGAAAAGCGAAAAGGACCAACTAATTACCACTTATTTACATGACCAAAGTACGAAACAATAAGTTAGAGCAAGAAAAGGCGATTAATTTTAAAAAAGGCAACAGAACAGACTTTAGAGAGAACAAGAAAACCCCAAACTCTCATAGGCTGCTATTCCTCAAGAGCAACTGAGAGAGTCCACCAAAAAAAAAAAAACTCATGACCTCCAGACGAGAATCTCATTCACACATTTTCATCCTCAACCACATCAACTAGATCATAAGTGACAAAGCAAAGCACCTCTGACAAAGTTAGTGTGTTAATCAAATCGTAACGTGAAAAGGCTCAAGACAACTCAACCTACAGAACCCAATAACTGTTAGCACAACAATACCATTATTAGACCTGCTTTTAAAATCGATCTTAGTGGTAAATAACTAGGAGAAAGACAGAAAAAGAAAATGAAGGAAAGTAAAAGAGAAGAAGGATGGCTGTTGTACTGGGAAAGGTCATCTAATGAAGAGCACGACTACATCTTTCATGATCCAGGTGTAGTTATTCAATTTTTTTAGGCACAAAGCAGTGAACAAGCCATCACATCCCTAATCTCCCACCTTGTGCTTGACGGAGTAAGGATGGGAACGACTGTAAACCGTGACCATGGAGAACAACCGGCCGCCCCCCCCGCGGTCAGGAGGTGCCGTGGGTACAGGTAAGTGCTCGGACAGGCTTGGGGAGAATGTTCCAGCCCAAAGAGCCTCACACGCCTCAAGCCCTGATGCTTCATGCTTTCTACAAAGCAGTCGGGTGCAGCGGCCCCCCCAGCCAAAGCAAAGGCGGAGCCAAGAGACGGCTTGCACTTCACCTGGAGGCCTGGCGGGGGCGCTCTGGAGTCCAGAGCTTTGCAGAGCTGTAGCATATGCATAGCTATTGTAGGAAAGAGAGAAGGAGAGAGGGGGAATGAGGGAAGGAGATAAGGAATAAAGGGAGAGATTCAGTATCTCAAGGTGCTGGAGGCCCTGAAGTAGGAGAGGAACTTGAAGCACAGGCTGACCACGAAGTACCAGATGTTGCGGGCCATCTGAGAGCGGGCGATGAAGATGCGCCAGATCAGGATCACCAGGACCGTGTTGAACGTGTAGCGGATGTTCCGCAACCTGCAGAGATGAGGGAAAAGAAATAAGAGGCAGCATTATAACGTACTAAAGCGGAACTGTGGTATGTGCCAGGAGGAGTTCGCTATTAGACAGGAAGTTAAAGCTGTGTCTATAAAATAAATATACAGTTGTATGCAAAAGGTTGGATCCCCTGGTCAAATTACATGTTTAGTTGATTTTCTAAGTGAAAATAAGTTTGTGAACACACTTCTGCACATTTTAATGCACAGTTATGGTTTATCTGCTAAACATAACACAAATGTAAAACATTCAAAAATGAACATTATATATCTTCCAATATGTTAAACTCAGCAAATAGAAATTATGCACTAATATTTGCAGAACACTGTATTTAAGTTGGCTCCATGTAGAAGATGTGCTCACTTATTTTCAGTAACAAAATCCAACACGTCATTTGACTGGGGGTGTTCAAACTTTTGCATACGACGATACTTGTTGAGTTGGTCATATACTCAACCGTGAAGCTCAAATCCACCTAAAACAATGACATCAGTGTCTTAGTAGCCTTAAGTGGAAATGGAAGGTGCACCTAATAAAGAGCTCACTCAGTTTATGCTTCAGCTGTATTAGTCACATTCACAAATACATTTCAGTGACAACACTTTATTGAGTCCAGGTCATTATGAACACACGCACACACTTTCTAAGCCGCTTATCCTTCTGGGTTGCGGGGGGGAGCCTATCCCAGCTGTCACTGGGTGGAAGGCAGGAAACACCCTGAACAGGTGGCCAGTCCATCGCAGGGCAGACAGACAGACATACATTCACACACACACTCACACCTACGGACAACTTAGTGTGTCGATATTATGAACAGAGAAATAGAAACAAAGTAATGCGAGAATAAGTAAGTGTTTACACTCACTGAGCACTTTATTAGGAACATCTTGTTTCTATGCTCATTGTCCCTTTTATCAGCTCCATTTACTATATAGGAGCACTTTGTAGTTCTACAGTTACAGACTGTAGTCCATCTGTTTCTCTGCATACTTTGTTAGCCTCCTGTTCTTCAGTGGTCAGGACCCCCATGGACCCTTACAGAGCAGGTACTATTTGGGTGGTGGATCATTCTCAGTAACACTGACGTGGTGCTGGAGTTTTTAAACACCTCAGTGTCACTGCTGGTCTGAGAGTAGCCCACCAACCAAAAATATACACATCGCCACCACGTCACTGTCACTACAGTGCTGAGAATGATCCACCACCCAAATAGTACCTGCTCTGTGGTGGTTCTGTGGGGGTCCTGACCACTGAAGAACAGGGTAAAAGGGGGCCAACAAAGTATGTAGAGAAACAGATGGACTACAGTCTGTAATTGTAGAACTACAAAGTGCTAGACGTTTGGTTTAATTTTATTATTTATTTATTTATTTTTACTTATTTTACTTTAACACTCCCCTTCCTTGTGCAAGTGAATTATCTTTAATGTAATCTGCTCCGAAGTATCTTCTAAAAGATTAATAACTTTGATCTTTTGACTGGAAATGAATTAAATGAAGGGTGGTCTCTGACTTTTTAAGAGTACTGTAGCAGTACCTAATGGCAGCCTGGCCACCAACATACACTGTATTTCTCTTCAGTCTTTCTACAGCAGGAGACACTCACTTGTTGAGATGTTTACGTGCCGCTGGAAGGCCTGATAACTCCTCGTTCAGCACATACTTCTTCGTGCCCATGCAGTAGTTCTCCATATATTCAGCCCAGTGCAACTGTCTGACGTCGAAGTTGAACACCTGCACACAAAGAAACACATAAAATCACTAAATTCAGGTTGTCCCATAAAACTGTATCTGCAGATCCAGTACAGACAGCAGTCTAACAGTGAGACAGGGCACTTTTCTTATTGGAATTCCAATCATGACATCTAGAATCTCTGTGCATAAAGACTCCATTCACGCCTGATTCAACCACCGACATTCAGCCTTACAATCAAACACTGTACAAACACACACGCACACACACACACACAGGCTGCCACTGACGTGCCATGTGCAGCCAAATGAATCGAGCCCGTGACTGACTCATGACTGATTCTGTGAGCGTGTGGCCCGCACCTTCCTGTCCTCGGGTCCCAGCTGGTTTAGAAGCATGGTGACGTTGTCCGTGTTCCAAACCCACGAGTGGCTGGTGAAGTACTCCAGCACCATCATGGCCTTGTGGAGCCGCGTGATCGTCTTCATCATCCTGCGTCGCCACGGAAACGGCAACAGGAGCAAGATATGAGAGAGAGAAAGAGCAGTTTTAGAAGGAGATCAGATCTGCATGCAGGAGCTTTTCAATCATCACACCTTCCGAATGTGCTAAATGCCAGCTTGGCACATCTGATATCTATGAGTTAGTGGCAAAGATCAAAAACGAGCAGCGACAAGCACTTTGAACTGGTGCATAGGACTGAGAAAATGCAATGGAGGCCTTGTTTGGTCTTTCAATTGTTTTGTTCACTTTTCTTTTTTATGTGTCTCAAATATTTTTTTATATCTTAAGTATTGTTTTCAATTATCTTATTTTTTTTTTTGCCCTTGATTCATTCATTCTTGTACTTGGCCACACTGAAAATGAGGGCTCTCCTTCAGTGTAACTAAAGGTTTGAACTGAATTGAACTGAACAGGCTCCAGACAAATGAACACACGATGAAACTCCACACAATAATATAACATAAACTAGGCATCACACCAATTCAAAGCGCTGTTGAACTGCTCAAGTACGATGTTACTATTAAAATAAGTGGTTAACAGTACATTAGGTTACACGTTCCCCGATCATTCAGTAACTGATTTGCTTAGTTAACAAAAAATCCCACTATTAATGAATCCAGTCACACACACAGAGGAAAACATGAACAGGTAATATGATAGCATCACTGATTGAGTTTACAGTTCATTGGATATTAGGAACACAGGATGGCTGGCCTTGGAGGGCATCTGAGCCAGGAGGATTTCCCAAATAAGGCCTCACATCAGGGTGTAACTAAAGAATGCCTGTATTTTTACATTGTTTAATACATCAGAATAAAAAAATGGTTCTCAATGTGGATGCATTTCCACAAATGGGTTAAGCAAATGTACTGTACCCAGATTCCCTCCAAGATCTACTAAAGAAAAAAATAACATCAATATCAACCATGCAGGACAAATCAATCCTCCAAAATGGGAACAAAGAGACAAAATGAACAAACAAACAGCAGCAAAAATGTCTCATGAAACACTCACTTAAATATCCATGTAAAGAACAAAAAAAAAAACTTTCAGCTTAAACTGGAGGCTTTTCAGACCAGAAGAAAGGTGCAAATTTGGTAAACTCAGTTTTAGCTATATTGACTGGCATCATAACAGCTATATGTATTTAAACAGGGGCTGAATCAGATTTATAATGGATGAGATACCAAAATGTATTAACCTAAGATCAGCAAAAATATGGTCTTCTATGTTCCAAAAGGTTGAGGAAGCATGAGGCCATGATGTCTCTATAGCCTACATGAGAGAGAGCCTGCATCGGATGATGTTCAGGCTGTCCAGTTAATAATGGCTGTTCATCATCTCTGACGGAATTGGTATCTGGTAGTGGTCAGAACTACATTCACAAATTAATTTGCTTGAGGAGCAAACATAAATATCATTTTCAGATGATTTGACAGTATGGATCACAAAAGAACACAAACAAAACATGGTATGGATGGATCCATTCACTGATAAAAACAAACTAAAAACAAATAAACAAACAAACAAACAAAAAAACCAACTGCAGTTTAATTCAAACGCTAAAGGGAATTAGGGCAGTCACTACCAATCTAATCTGTAATTGAGTAATCTACTCAATTAATTGTCAGTAATCTACTGACAATTAATCGAGTAATCAGTTTTAAAGGCCCAAGCAATAAAAATGGACTTAAGTGAACAGTCACTGTGCACTGCTTTCCAAAAAATACTTAACTGAAAAAAGATAAATAAGTAAGCCTTTAAAAAGACTTAAAATATATATTATATATATAAGCACTATGTATAAAAGTGGACCGAACGTGCTCCGTTTCTTATTGCAAGAGAAAAAGATCAGTAGGAGAAATTCAAATATGCACTATTATCATACAAACTCCTGCGCCACTGAAAAGCACCATTTAATTGATGATCTTCTAAAACTGAGTAACTGAATTGAATAAAACAAGTGTGACAGCCCTAAAGAGAACAAAAAACAATCAAATCAAAAACTGAATCAGGCATGCTTGTTCAGGACCCCATGCACGTCCCGGCGCGGACGTCTGCCAGCAGCATCGCTCCGATGCCATGAAGTCCAGCAGACAGCCGAGCTGGACGCTCATCCTTTCCAAACGGTTCAGCAACCCATGCCACGGCACACCACGCAGTCAGCCAGCACCTGAATCACGTATCCATGCTCCACCCACAGTTGCATACTTTTGTATCTACCATCATGAGGGTGGACATAATTTACAGGCAAAAATTCCAATTAAACTGTAGCGCACAACACAATTTTTGCCAATATATGTAAATTTGTGCATTGTTCATTTCAATTGATATTTATATTGTATAGGTGTGAAGGCTCGCAATGTTAGGCATGTCAGTCCAAACAGTGTGACCTTTCACACGCATACAAAATAAATCTTTAAAATGTCATAATGCGCTCACCATCTACTTTACAGACTACCTTGAACTCTCTGGTCACTTTATGAGCTCCACTTCTTCTATAGGTCCATTACATAAGCCTACAGTTACACACTGTAGCCCATTTGCTGATGCATTTCATCAAGCCCCATCTACACCATTCATCATGTGTCAAACCCCTGATATTATTTGGGTGGCCGTCTATTCTCTGTGCTCAGCACAGCAGTGACAGTGGCATGGTAGTGTGTGTGGTGCTGGTACAAGTGCATCAGACACAGTGGTGTTGCTGGAGTTTTTACACACATCAGTGTCACTGCTAGGTTTATAGTTGACCACTACCCACAAATATCCAGCCCAGAAACTGACCAATAACGAAGTGTCTGTGTGCATGAACAGATGGGCTACAGTCTGTGAGTGTATACCAGTAAGGAAAAGGTTTCTAATAAATGTGACCAGTGTGTGAATTTTAAATAATAATTAATTAATTTTCCACTCTTTTTATTTATTTATTATTTCAATTATTAAGTTATTCAGAGATTTGATGTGAAACGGTTCATTACAGAGACAGATGTCTTTACAGTGGTGGTAATAGGAACCAGAGGTCACAATGTCTACAACTGAAATATAGCCATTTTATTTGCTATCCAAAATGACCAGTGAACCTACATGGGTTTTTTATATGTAATGTAAAAAATATTTGGGCACTATTTTGCCTTACAATAACCTATGTCCTTCTCAAACCTCTTGTAAAACAATGTCTCAGGCACCAGATTATGTATTTGTAACCATCGAATAACTTTGTGAGGAAGGCTTTTTTAGTCTATTTCTGGTTCCTATCACCACCACTGTGAGCAATGCTGACTGAAGTTTCTCTAGAATGGAGCATTCACATCAAATCACTCAATGTACATCTCAACAACTGAATTCTGCAAAAATTGGTGGAATTACCCTTTAATACATTTGAAATGAATAATATACTTAAAATGTGTAACTGAAAATGAGTTGTGCTCTACAATTTCTCATGACTAACGCGATGTAAAGCTTGTCCAACCTTGCAGTAGTAGCTACAAAAAAGGGTGGAAAATGTGGGCAGAGCAAGGATAGGTCTACTGAGGGGAAGAAGGGAGGGCTGCGGAGACCTTACCGAGGCTTCTGCCCCGTCAGCCACAGATAGGCGTCGTAGAGCAGGGCAGGAATGGTATGGCTCACTGTTGTCCAGTACTGATTGGTAAAGGGGTTGGAACGCAGGTTAACATTGGGCCGTCTGAAGGCCTGCTCTAATGGGTTGGTCTTGAAGGTCATGTTTATACAGTTCTCTGCGGGGAGGAATACACAAGCATAGACACACACACAGCTTTAAACAGGACTAAAAGCAGCATGAATGGGATGGGGAGAGAGAGAGAGAGAGAGAGAAGAGAGAGAGAGAGAGAGAGAGAGAGGAGAGAGAGAAAGAGAGAGAGGATACGAGCGAGAGTGCAGAACCCAGCAGCCTGGCTTATGCACTCTCCCCCTTCAGCACTAAGCAACGTCACAACACGTCACGTGGGGCTAGACTGAGCACGGAGAGGGGGTGCGGGAGGGGCTGCCGAAACACGGTGCGATTTACCTGGGCTCCCGTCCCGTTATCCTGAGGCACAGATCATAGAGGAATGCTGGCGCCTTGTGGCTCACAGCAATCCAGTACTGATTGATTAGGTGATTGGATGTGAGATTTACATTGGGCCGTCTGAAAGCCTGCTCGAGGGGGTTCCTCTTGAAAGTGGATATAACATGGTACTCTAAGAGACAAAAGGGGGAGTTCAACAGAGTAAACCTCGCACAGCATTGCCAAAGTCCACTCAATGACAAATCCAATGGTGTTTACACTAGGGGTCTCAGGCTTATCGATATTCGATGCACTGATTTAAAACAGATCATCATACTGCCACATTTTCCCTAAAGTATTAAAATTAGTGTTGAGACCTGAATAGAAATGTCCTGATCCAGTGTTTTTGCCCATCAATCCTATCTGATCCCACTACTTTAATGTTGAGTACTGTCCGATACCCACCTGATCGTTTGTTTTTCCGATCCGATCTACATTTTTATAAATTACTATCTTACAATGTGTTTAATACTGACTGAGGATCAAACCTGATTGACCTACCTGATGATTTTGCTGCCACTTTAATATTCTGCATATTTTATGTGCATAGTAACATGCACTCTTGAGTTACATGCTCATTTCTGATAATCATTTTATAGTGTTGTGAATAAACTATGATTTCAGATTATAATGATTATGATTATGTTATGATTTCAGCTCTAATACACGCACAGTAGCTGCTCCTTTCTTTGGCTTTAGAGTTAAATGCTGTTAAATTCCTTGCGGTAAACTAGAACCTAATCGCAACAATTGTTTTCTCTCAGCCATGACTCGCAAGTGGAAACTGTGGCAGCCTGTTTTGTATGTTTCTGGTGGCATGCTCCTCGCAGCTGTGGCTGAAAGTAAATATGCATAACAGCATATTGAAAGCATAACAGCATCTCACAAACATTTTATGTGCCAGCTTTTTGATGAAATGTGGCTCAAACACAGTCAAAACTATGATGCTGCACATATTATTAGCTTTCATTTCTACTGTAAAATAGTCAGAATTGTTAAAAACATCCCACGACATCACTTGGTCACTATTAAAGCAGCCCTGATAGCAAGAGGACAGTGGGCCACTGTTCGCCTGCTGATGACAAAGCTAGTGGTCCACTGGCGTTTTGCTTAGTGTTTTCTGGGCAGCACACCGGTGGTTAAACAAAGTATTAGGCAAAATTTCACTTATCAGTCATTTTCCACTCACAGTCCAATTTACTTATTTTTCCTTCCTTACTTTCTTTAGTTATCCTTTGTAAATTAGTTCAGAAAATAATTTTAATCCAGCACAGTGTCAGCAACAACATTTTCTATATGACATTTCATATCAGGCCTAGTCATTATTTTTTTCTCTCAGGTTTATTTTCGCTCAACTTTATTTTCTAAAATAAAAGGCTCTGTGCATGTAAAGTCTGTACGAGGAGATTATAAACTAGGCGGAGCTTGTATATACATTTATATTTGTATATATTATTTGTATATATATATATATATATATATATATATATATATATATATATATATATATATATATATATCATCTTTTTAGAATTTGACCATTTGTTTCATCCAATGCTAACAATTTCCGAAATGTTCAGTATCAGTGACAAAATTCTCAAATTGATCAGGCCCTTTAAATTACACTATGAATAAAGCTGTTAAAACAGCTTAGCAAACACGTCGGCCTTATCACATCACCAAAAATTTAGGGGTAAACTGATCTAACGAACTATTGTTCATTCAGGTAAAACATTTACCACCATAGTTAACACAAGTTAATTACGCTCAATACATATAGCATAGTTTAAAACAAACAAGACTACAAAGACAATGACATCAGTCTAACCAAAAGGCAGAACCTTCTGAGTGCGACTTCATCCTGTTACAGGTGCTCAAGCATGCAAAAGCATCTTAAACATCACACTACACATCTGACACTAAAAAAAACAACAGCTGACAGGGATTAGTTCCACAAATTAAATGGTCACAGATTTTTACATCCAAGGAAGACACTGCATCATCCAGCTCAGTGCACTACAGTTAGCAATGCATTCAGCATATGTGACAGACTTGGCTGGGATCCTAAGGCCTGTGCTTGCTTTCAAGTGCTCAGATTTTAACACCCCAATCCAATCAATCACTTTACGGAGAAAAATGCTACAGACAATGGTAACACAATAGCACTTCTGCAGGTCGTCACTGCAGCACATCTTCACCTCCTTCTATTCTATTCATTTATAATGCACGTTTGACAGCAACAGTAGTGTAGCTGAGGACCGAGCACACGAGAATAAAGGGAAGCACTTCCCCGGAGAGACACTTCTGCTCTCTCAGCTCTAAAATCAGGGCACACTTCACTTCTTACTCTTGCACACAGAATGAGGACTTCATGGACTGCAGCTAACGCCCTGCACAAACAGCCAGCAGGTAAGAGCAGAGCAGGGCTGGGAAGTAGAGCCAAAAATATTTTTTCCAAATATTTGTTCATATCATTTGATACGGATAATTATTATCGCCAATTATTATTCACGAGATTGCACAATTTCAAATGTGAAGGTTATTCTGATTTTTGACGTAAACAAAAGGCGTATTCTAATTTAAGAAAACCAAATAGAAATTGTAGCAGACATGCAGACTTTTTTGCTACACTGTCTTCTTGCTCTTCCATTATTTCAACACTGAAAACAGCTTCCTAGCTAACTCTGCTAACTGACCGTGCTGTTCCGAATGAATGGCTAGATTTCTTGTCCCTCCCCACATAGTGGTAAAAGGCGAAACCTGCCTTTAGATAGTGTTCCGAAGCAGCAATTGTACAATTTTTCAACACTGTAAAAAGGAACAGTCATTGAAAAATCTCTCAAACGCTATGTGATCAATTGAGAAAAAAAAAAGTTTTATTTCAATAATTACCATTACTCTTTTATTGTCCAAGCCTGGGGCTAGGGCAGCTCCAACCTGCTCAAACAAGCCCTAAACTAAATCATTATAACAGTAATCATGAATCCTCAGATGTCTTAACAAGAAATCCAAGGACATGAGTAAGGCTTTGGTTTCTTTTTGCCTTGTTTTTGTCCTGCATATTCACCATTCTCTGACATGCAGCCCTTTCTCTATAGAGAAGCATTTTACATCAGATTGGAAGAATTCTTTTCTCCATTTATGAAAGAAAAATGTGGGGCATTGTCCTCCTTTATGAGGGCTGATTTACGTCAATACAACTGAACACTGACTTATGATGAAAGAATGATTCATACCGACTTCACCCCAGTGAAAAGGATTGATTGCGCCCGTCGTGCAGTTGTACACCAACATGCTTTTTGGCCTGCAATAAAAAAGTAAAATAAATAAAATCACTGCATTTACTGCCTGTGTTAAGGCTGTTATGTTTAAAATCCATTTTTGCTTTTCTTCTTGACTGGATTTGTGTGTTTAGATGTATGTTCAGAGTTCCTCCAGTCCTTCTGTACACATTATATAGAGATATTTTATTCATGGTTATTAATTAGGGCATAAACATCACTGATAGATATAATACATAAATAAAAGGGCAACAGTAACCTGCTACTTGCCAAATAGTGGGCACACATTCATCTATACTGTTAAAGCTCAGATCTTGCTGGTTACTGATCTTACTTCTCCAACAGTCAGCATTAAACTTGTCAGATTAATCAGGTATTCATATTCATCAGATACAACAGCTCACTGTTGCCCTTTTATAGGTGTGTTAGAAGCACTAATAAAGTCATTTTAAACCATTCATAAACCCTTGATAAGGGCAGTCCTATTGTAACTGTAAATTGTAAAATCGGCAGAAAAAATGTCATGTTTAAGTGTGCTCCCTGTAGAGGATGTGAAAATCAAGAAAACGTGTAATCTGACCAGGGGTACTCAAACTTTTGCATACGACCATATAGGCCTGCCTATATATGGCTAAATGTAGCTTTTCTTTACAGAGCTTGGGCATCACATGTGCAAGTGTATGTGTCAGACTGACCTAGTGTGTCTCTGGGAGCCAGAGTACCAAGCGGCAGCCAGAGTTGTGTTTATGACCACATCTACTGGCACAAGGTCAGCGATAGCACTGTTGGATGCCCTCATGGTACGCAAGATGCCCTTCCCTGCCTGCAGAAACACACAAGAGAATCCACTGGCCTCACAATACGACACAATCTACTGAGTTTAGTTAATCCTACACAATCTACTGAGTTCAGTTAATCCTACACAATCTACTGAGAATCATATGTGTAGCAATATTATTGCTAACACTTATCTAACTTTATCTAATTTTAATGATAACAAAAAGAAGCACTTACAGCAATAAATATTCCACTAGGTCCATTGAAGTTGTCTATCCAGCCCTAGGCATAGAAGAATTGGTTGATTAACAGACTCTATTACACTTGTGAACACTTGTGATGTTTGGGATGTGATTACAGAAAGGTCAGCGATATTTACAGGGAAGGGTTCCTTCCAGCTGGCGCCCACTATTGAAGGTCGGATGATGGCCATGTTGAGGTTGCCACACTCCTGCTGCACCAGGTACTCCGCCAGGGCTTTGGTATATGTGTATGTGTTGGGTCGCTCCCCGATCAATTTAGGGGTCATCAAACTAACCAGCTTATCGTCCATCCACCTGGACAGGACCAGACAACAGACTCAGGCTCAACATAAAGGTCAAAGCTTTCAAAATAGACAGAGACAAATAAACAGATTCAGAGATGCATAGATAGAAAAGGTTAAATAGACTAAAATGTACTGAACAATTAATCTAAGTGATTATATAATCTCAGCAGTGTACTGACAGTCTCAGTATTGGATGACACTCCATCAATAATTTGACATTTTTTTTAATTCATTTAAAGGTCATATACTGACAAATATGAAAATGCAATGAAAACACAACCATACTGGAGGTAAAACATTAATATAATCCTTGAATATAATTTTCAAATATATCTCTAATCTGATTACAGTCTTCTTTCCTCTTTGCCTGGATTATAGTTATTTTGTAAATGCATACTTATATATAATGATTAAATACATACAAACAGACTTGCTTATGTGGATTCTGACACTTTATAACATAATGCTTTCTATAAAAATGGACAAAAGTACAGACAAAATTCAAGCTTTGGGATAGCTACTGTTGTTTTTAGCTTCAATTCAAGTATCACGCTTTTCACTGCCATATATAAAAGCAGCTTTATAGAAAGTCATGTCCAAATCTTGCATGAGCAAGCTAAGGGCGACCGGGGCAAAGAAAACTCCCTCCAATGTACAATTTTTGTAGATGACATTATGTCACGTATCGTCAGAAACCACATTAGCATGTCTATTTTTATGTACATAACTGTTGGATTGTTTGTCTATTTGAGATTATATAACTATATAAACAGGTTTTTCCAGTGGGGGAAAGAAAACAATTTTCTCACTACATATGAATGGAAAAAAGTAAAACATTACAGTTTCTGTTTCCATAGGCTACACTGGCAAACTTTCTGAAGTGTTAAAATGTTCTTTTCACTTCTTTTCACTCAATGGTGCAGAACCAGCATATGTATTTCATACGCTGCAGCAATAACAGCCAAGCAGAACTCTCAGATCATTAGGGACCAGTCAGTTAGTCCTGCTGAAGGTGAAGACTAGACATGGAGAAGCAGCGTTTAGGTACCATGCTGCTGGAACCAGCTGACAGAGAGCATTCGAAGAGCAGACACGGGAAACTTTTAAATCCAGGCTCAAAATGTTCCTATTTGAGCAGCTTTCAGTGCAGTTTAAAACACTGTCAGCGCTTCTAGCCCCTTTTCCTCTGTAAGGGCACTTTTCTTTTTTATCCTAATCTAACTTTTAATGTTTAATTTGATTTTTTAACCTAATATAACTTAGAATTTGATTTTTAATTTTGTGATTTTCTCTTTTAAATCTATTGTTTTAACATTTTTTTAATATCTATGCTTGTTTTTTTTTTAAAACAACTATTTTCTGACTGAATTTCCTCCTTTGTAAAGCACTTCGAATGACAGCAGTGTAAGAAAAGTGCTATATAAATAAACTTGCCTTGCCTTGGCTGGAAGCTATTGACTATATTTGGCCTAAGGGCAAATTTAAGTTAGATTTTTTGTCAAACTGTTTCTTTCATGAAGGACATGGTGGCTGTAACTCATTTCAAATGACTTACTCTAGTGTGTCTATGAGCTTCCTGTAGTCTACAGGCGGTGGGTAAACCACCTCCTCGATCAGCTCACGGTCGCAGTGGGCGTAAGCCGTGGAGACGTGGATGAACACCTCCAAATGCTTCATCCTGTGGGCCAGACTCACCATCTTCTGCGTGGCCAGCACGTTCAGCTGCATGGCGTCCCTGATGAACACACCCATTCACAAGTGTCACTGCCAAACCTGCAGAGCAGCTAATGACTCAGCTATTGATCATATCGAAAGCCAGCTAACCGAGCCTAAGCCACAACCACATTTCAGACTGTGGGAAAGACAAAACCCCATGCAGTCGTTTTTGCAGTCAGAGGCATGCTGAGCTCTAAATTTGCTTTCTAAAAGGGCCGCAGCTCTTTAGACATTAGTGATTTCCTGTTTCACCACTGATGACTCAAGTCAGCAGCTTAATATCAAGCTTTTTACATGCTGAATCAGGTGTGTCAGCGTCTTCAGGTAGCCCTAGCCAGTCCCCAACATACCTGCAGGACCTCGGGATATTTCACAAAGCAGGATTTCTCAATTAGCCAGATAAATTAAAGGAATACATCAGTGTTTTTCAACCTAATCTTTATCTGCTGCATCTGTAGTGTATAGTTCATTACTACTAACAATTATTTCAATGCACTTTTCTAATGCTTTAGAAAAGAAATGGAAACATCTAATCAAAATCACTGGGGCAGTTGCTGAATATCGTCAGTGTGTTTTGGAAGAACAAATGAATTCTTTAGCCAAAGATATTGTAAACTGTTCTTTCAGTGATGGGTCTAGATCTACAGAGGGTGGAACTTTGTGGAAATACTAGCATAATTTGGTTAATTCTGTTGCTCTAATGTACAGAAATTGGACATTTTCATGTCTCAACTCATGACTGTTATAGTTTTTAATTCATATTATATAAACTCTTAAAAAAGATGGTTCTTCACAGGTTCTTTAGTAAAGAAAATGGTTCTATATATAACCATGAACACTCAGAACTCTGCATGATCAAAGGGTTCTTTGCATCATGAAATGGTTCCTCAGACTGATGGAGAATGTGTTTTATATAGTTCAGTATAGAACCTTTTTGAAAGGCTTCTTCTATTATTATGATGTCAAGCTTGTAACAATAGAAAAGCCCGTTCTGGTGCTATAAAGAACCCTTTTTTAAAGAGACAACATACTCCATCAATCTGAAGAACCCTTTCACAATGCAAAAAATCCCTTTGATCATGCAAAGGGTTCTTTGAGTGTTCGTGGTTCTATATAAAACTATTTCCTTTACTAAAGAACCTTTGAAGTCTTTTTTAAGACTATAATCTATTCATATATTCATATTATGTAGAAATATATTACATATTTGTAACATTTATGCACAGAATTCAGCAACTCCCCGGTGGGTTTTATTTAGGGATGTCCTGTTCTGATCTAGGCATATTTTAGGCAACTGGACAATATTTCTCTAATTTGGCAGACTGACTTTCACTATCAATGGTGAGCCAAATTTTGCTAAGTGCACTGAAAGACAACATTTCATCAGCCTGTCAGTTTTTTTTCCCAGTTGTTTAATTGTTTAGCTTGTTGCTATTTGTGTCTGAAAACACTACTGAAAATGTTTAAGGCATGCAAGACTGTAAGACTGCACCAAAGTCACATGAGTTCATTGCCATGTTTTGGTTGTTGAACCAATTTAGCCATGTTTGGTATTTTTGCCAGGGTATTTAAGTGTTGCATAGTCCTTCATTTATTGATTCATTTCAAACCATAAGCAAACCATGCAAAACATAGTAAGACACTAATATTCCTAGATGTGAGCATAAATTAACTTTTAAACATGCTGGGTGATGTGAGGTCCTACATTAATACTGTATTTACTGTACTTAACATGAACGAGATGTTCCAGAAACACCGCTGTTGAGCTGCGCTGGCTGAATAAACAGCTTCAGGTCTCGACACTACCATGACCCAATCCCAATTTCACCCCTCGCCCCAACCACTTAGCCCTTACCCCTCCATTTTGCGCCTTCATGTCTAGGGGTAAGGTGCCCTGATTTTTGTTGAGATAGAGGGGTAGGGTGAAGTGTTACTACTACAAGTGTTGCTACATGACCCTCCAAACAGAGGTTTTTCAGAGGCACAGTACAAACAGAGTGTTATGAGAAAAAAAGAAGAATCGACCAAATAACCATTGTAATATCTTTGTAATATCATTGTAATGTCATTTTAACGTATTATAGTCGTTTTCTTCATAAGAACCATAAAAGTAAGCTGATGTCTCGGTAGCTAGCTAGCTAAATTTCCTGTTCCACCATACATGGTGCAGCAGTTACATTCTGGTGCCTCAGGCATCGGAAATACTGCTCCATTTAAGGTGGAACAGGAAAATTCTAACAAGAAGCTGGCGAATAGCTGACTTCAGCTTCATATTACCAGAGAATTAGGGGTGGGCGATGATAAATAATTATGAAGGCATATGATTCCCTAAATGTAAGTAAAGCCCAGCAGTGAGGAGCTGAACTTTACCGCTGCTCTACTATCACTGCAGACTGGCAGGGTCGCCTACAGAGCACCGCTAGTAGCTGTTAATGAAGTAATGTGCTTTTTTATTTGAGGGTCCCATTTCGAAGGAAAAGATTTCAACCACTACAACTTGTAACTCAGGTCCCAGGGGTCAAGGTGACACTCGAAAACAAGGGGTAGGGGGAAAAATAAGAAATGGGATTGGGCCCATGTCTCAGCTCATGTACAACTGGACAAAAGGCATTAGGCCTTATACTAAACTGCACTATTGTAACATTCTTTCAGCACATAAAAATTAAGCTTCAAATTAGCAGGGTGTGTAAATGCTTTGTGGAAATACAGCCATATGCAAAAGTTTGAACACCCCTGGTCAAATTACATGTTTTCTTGTGTTCTCTGCGGAGGATGTGTTAACTTATTTTCACTTAGAAAATCAACCAAACATGTAATCTGACCAGACGTTTAAATATACAACCGTATAAAAGTCCCGGTTTACCCTGTTTAACATGGCTATTTAACACACAGCTACCCAAACAAAAGGATTCTGTTACTGACACATTCCTTGATCATATCTTACTTAAGGGGCTCGTTGAAGCGGACGGTGGCAGCACAGTGGAAGACTATGTTGATGCAGTCCGTTAGAGTGTCCTCATCTTTCTTGCTGAGGTCCAGGTCCGGCTGGGTCAGGTCACTGTCCACTGCCACAATCTTCTCCGCAAAGTCCGGCTGGTCTTCTCTCAATCTGTCGAAGAGCTGAGGCACGTACGTAAAAGGGAGAATATTTACACATCAGATTTCATCTTTAGACTCTTTATAAACACAGATAAGAGACACAGCCTTGAAGTCTTGATTAAAAGATCTGTCATTCTGCAAGCTATGAAGCAACGTTGGCACTGAGCTATGAAGCATTCTTGAAGTAATGCTGAACCACAGAACTGTTTGCACCTTTGTGCTCTTGAGTGTGTAGATCTTACCAAAGAACAAATCCCGAACAAGAAAACACTGGTGAATGTCAGAATCTTCATGAAAACTGTGTAAATGGGTTTTAAGAAGAAATTTCTTCTTAGGAGTGGCTGCTGAATAAGGCCCATTAACTTTATTCCCCCTTTAAGTGGATAAGTTGTAACAACACATTACACTGAAAGTAAGTCATTTTATCATAACCTGCAAGGCAGCAATACTAATGCAGGAAACTTCAATAATCACACTTCAAAGTGAGCTTAATTGCCTTTAATTACTCTTAATTACATGATTCTGACGCCTACTGTAGAACCTTCTGGAAACACCAATGAGGAATGAGGATCCAGGGGGCTCCTTATGTGAAAGAATCTTTACACATGCACACACACATATGTGCGTGTGTGTGTGTACACTTGGAATCGATAAAATACAACCCTATTTCCAAAAAAGTTCGGACGCTGTGCAAAATGTAAATAAAAACAAAATGCAATGATGTGCAAATCATTTAAAACCTATATTTCATTGAAAATAGTACAAAGACAAGAAATCAAATGTTGAAACTGAGAAATTTTATTGTTTTTAGAAAAATATATGCCCATTTTGAATTTGATGCCAACAACATGTTTCAAAAAAGTTGAGACGGGGCTGGTAAAGTTGTGTAATGGTAAAAAAATAATAATAAAAAAATGGTTGAAAAAAAGAACATACCAGAGAGACTGAGCCTTTCAGAAGTAAAGATGAGGAGGGAAAGACTGCATGATCAAATAGTTCAACAATTCAAGAATAACGTTTCTCAACATAAAATAGCAAAGAACTTTTGCTTTTCATCACCTACGGTACAGAATAACATTAAAAGATTCAAAGAAGCTGGAGAAATCTCTGCATGCAAGGGACAAGGCCAAGAACCAGTATTTGTTGGCCGTGATCTTCAGGCCCTCAGGTGGCACTGCATTAAAACAGACATGATTCTGCGGTCGAAAAATCACTGCATGGGCTCGGAAACACCTCTGAAAAACACTGTCTATGCAAACAGTTCATCACTGCATCCACAAACGCAAGATAAAACTCTAAAATGCAAAGAAGAAACCAAATATAAACAGGATCCAGAAACACTGCCATCTTCTCTGGGCCCGAGCTCATTTAAATGGACTGAGGCGAAGTGGAAAGTCCTGTGGTCCAACAAATTAACATTTGAAATTCTTTTTGGAAATCATGGACACTGTGTCCTCCGGGCTAAAGACCACTGAGCTTGTTATCATGGCACAGCTCAAAAGCCAGTATTCATGATGGGGGGGCACTAGTGTACATGGCATGGGTGACGTGCACATATGTAAAGGCACCATTGATGCTGAACAATATATACATGTTTTGGCAACATATGCTGCCATCCAGATGACGTCTTTTTCAGGGAAGGATTTGCTTATTTCAGCAAGACAATACCAAACCTCATTCTGCATGTATTACAACAGCATTGCTCCGTATTAAAAGAGTTCGGGCACCTAACTGGCCTGCCTGCAGTCCAGACCTGTGACCACTGAAAACATTTGGGGCATTATGAAATGAAAAATACAGGAAATGAGACCCTGAACTGTTGAGCAGCTGAAATCCTGTATCAAACAAGAACAGGAAAACTTTTCACTTTCCAAACTACAACAGTGTCTCCTCAGTTCCCAAACGCTTACAGAGTGTTGATAAAAGAAGAGGTTATGAAACACAGTGGTAAACAGGCCCCCGTCCCAACTTTTCTGAAACATGTTTTTGTCATCAAATTAAAAATGGGCATATATTTTTCAACAAACAATAAAATTTCTCACTTTCAACATTTGATTTGTTGTCTTTGTACTATTTTCAATGAAATATAGGGTTTAAATGATTTGCACATCATTGAATTTTGTTTTTATTTACATTTTGCACAGCGTCTCAACCTTTTTGGAAATAGGGCTGTATTATATACATCAGCCAATCAGTACTTTTGATAGACAATGAATGTGTAATAGATGCTGAAAAACAAAGAGAGAAGGCAAACCAAAGGTGTGGAATGGGAACATATACTCAAACATATCCAGGTAGAAAACGATAGGCCCAGTTATAGGTTTTTTCAAATCATTTTCCATCTGTAATTCAGCATATTTAACAGCAAACTTTCACAGTGGTTAGGCACATATGCATTAGACAATTTGGTTAAGAGTAATGCAAAGACTTTTTGCTATATTTTAAACTAACATCTGCATTACTAATGTCTGCATTTGCCTTTCATGTGCACAAGTGGACTTTTAAATGCATCGGTATTGGAAACAGGATACTGCGTATTAAAAGAAATCAGCAGAATCGCCCATCCCCAGCCTAAACCCAGTGACAGTGGTCCTGAACTCACCCTGCAGTTGACCATGTCTGCGATGCGGGCGCTGGGGGACTGGCTTGCTTTTGGACGGACCAGGACATACGCAGCTTTGACCCCCGGGCAAGAGCGCAGCAGCTTCTCCAGCAGAACTTTCCCCATGAAGCCCGTCGCCCCTGTGATAAGCACATTCTTTCCTGTGTAGTACTCCGGAATAGTGACCATCCTGAGCCCTCCTCAATCACACCCCTGAAACAAGAGCAGTGAGAAAATCAGTCCCATGAGAGGAAATCGCAGGAAACATGAGTCGCCGTAAACAGCAGGTCACTGTAACTAGGGGTGTAAAACTGCACTGATGCATTATGAAGCATCAAACTGAAGAACTGTGATTCAACTGAGTTTGCTCTGGATTACTGTCAAACGTAAAAAAACTGCAACAAGAACTTTGGAACAAGGTCTATATTCCACTACAACATAACAGTCCCTCCTGGTCACACTTGTGTATTTAGTGTATTTTTAGAGGACCCCCTGCCTACATTTTTCTTGGATTTTAGTTTTTCCCTTGAGGCCCACTTATAACATTTGTTTGGTTTTATGTACCAAAAATGGTCATAATTTTTACATGACCATAGTCTCTCTAACCTCTCTTTGTCCCTTAGCGTTAAACAGGCTGTTTTGGCGACTGTGATTTTATGACTGAGATAAATAAGACCATTTCACTAAAATGTTCTGAATGGCTGCCTTGTATTGTGCCTCATCCGAAAGGCACTCAGCAAAAACTCCTTATAACTTTAAAATGAATCGGTTGAGCTAAACTGCTATAGTACATAAACGAACTTTGCTGTTGGTTTCTCGTCAAAACTACCAAGAATTAAAGGGGAATTTCACTGATTTTTCAAAATTTCAGCATGCTGTAAACAAAGTCATTCAGAGTGGTGTGATGCGAAATGGTGCATTGTAGAGAAACGTACAGACTCAGATTTCTTTACAGTGGTGGTAACATCAATAAAATACTACACTCATATCCAAAAACACTTTTCCATGAAATGGGCCTTTAGACACGTATAATCACTGTGTTTGGCAATATATTTCTCCCCATGTCTATTATGATATTCACACAAATGCCTCAGCAAAGCTGTGCGGTCAGTTTTTATCTGCAGTATTTACAATAAATACATACATCCAATGGCTTCTTTAGACTGGTGGCTCTGCAACAATATATGCCTTGAAGCAGTACTACAAGACTGGACATCCTAAAATGTTCAGCATGTGCTTTTGCGGTGCTAAAAAAGTGGCTCAAGAGTTGTCCACAATGGGAACCCCTGGCTTCCTTTAAGCAGCGTGATTGTGGCTCTAAGTAACAATTATCACCCTCCTGTTATCTGTCCACAAGTTCTGTGAAGTGAGTCACTCCCACCCAATGGAACTTCTAAAAGGAGAAATGTTAGAAAGAGTTAAGAAACCATGTGTGCTTGTAAGCTTGTTTCGTTAGTGTGAGTTAAATATTTGATTGTGTGAACTTCCTCCGGCACTGGAAATGATGAAATCGGACCACGCTGCTCCCTAGATACAGCAGGCCTACGCTTTACTGCACGCATGACATCTTCCAAAGGGAAAAGCTACAGTCAGGTGGAAGAAACAGATTCTTAAAAAGACAGCACAAAGTAAAACCCAGTTACAAAGACAAAAAGAAGTCCGTTAGTTAAACTAGCTTGTCCGATTCAGTGGTTTAATGGCTTTCTCTGCAGGTTCTCGGCTCATGCCTCTTATTTGCTGACAGTAAACCAATACAGCCCATTCAGCCAGCCATGCAGTCAGACTGTGGCTTAATCTAATCTCTCCCAGTGCCCAAGGCTTATCAAGGTCAGTCCTGATCAAACACACACAAAGCCTCTCCTCTAACAGACCAGGCTACATGAGCATTAAAAAGTGACCATTAGCCCAAAATGGTAGGCTGTTCGTACTGCAACACTGGTTTAAAAGATGCTTATATCTGGACCAACTATATTGTGCAATTAGTTATCTGTGAGAATCAACACTTTGTAATTATCTTCAATGCATGATGTATTGAAATCAGAATAATACAAACGTCAACAGAAAAACAACAAAAGTTCACTGAAGTCATCCTGAGTTTTACACTGCTAATTCTGAAGGGATGCACAATAATTTCAGAATCATACTGGTATTGGAAGAGAATTGCTTAAAAATAGAATGATCAGCATCAGACAGTTGTTTAGATTTGGTCGATATTTGAGGAAGTATTTATTACACCCTGGAAGAGTTGAATGTTTAGGGGGATTCATTTTATTGCATTTGTAACTCTATAGAAATAAATGTTCTATTTCTCTGTAGTGCTAATCCAGGTAGATCTAGTCCCAATTTCTACATTTTATTAATGTTTATGTATTGGCATAGATCCATACATGAAGAATATCCGATATTACCATCAGTCCATAATTTCCATAGTAGTGCATCCCAAGTCTTGTTTCATGGTCACTGAGAACATTGTTTATGATAAACTTCAATTCAAATCAGTTGTGGGTTATGGGATTCTTGGCCAATGCCAATATCAGAAATTTTATATTATATATACTATTTACTTAAAAACTCCAGCAGCACTGCTGTGTATGATCCACTCGTACCAGTGCAACACACACTAACACACCACCACCACAGTGCTGAGAATGATCCATCTCCCAAATAGTACCTGCTCTGTGAGGGTCCATGGGGGTCCTGACCATTGAAGAACAGAGAAAAAGTGGGCTAACAAAGTATGCAGAGAAACAGATGAACTACAGTCTGTAACTGTAGAACTACAAAGTGCACCTATATAGTAAGTGGAGCTGATAAAATGGACAATGAGCGTAGAAACAAGGAGGTGGTTATAATGTTATGCCTGATCGGTGTATTTCGTATCTCGTACCACTATATAAACCTTGTATCTCCAAAATGGTAACTTTACAGGAGAAGCAAAAAACCTATTTTACTTTTAATGTAAGTCAATGGAGTTGTGCACTAATAATTGCAGAAAAATGCCATATTTAGGTATTTTTTTCCTCTGTAGAGGATGTGTTAATAAATTTTTTACTTAAAAAAAAAAATAATAGTAAAAAAAAAATAACCTAAGCATGAAATTTGACCCAGGGTGCTCAAACTTTCACATGCGACTGTATTTCTGTTGGGTAACAAAAGCAGTAAAATGAATAAACTGCACATTTTTGCCCAGCATCGCTTAAACATTCTGCGCTTAAAGAGTACAACAACGTATCATAATTTAAAATTGTTTTTCATCAGACAGGATGTTCAGTTTTACCACATTTATGAACATAGTTTTACCTTCACTTTCATCTTACAGTTAGACACAGAAATGCAATCTTTGGCTTTCCAACTATGAAGAAGCTGGAATTTGCCAAGAAATCTTTTTCATACCAGGTGCACGGCAGACACAAAGCATTCTGGGTAAAACAGGTTCCACAGGCCTGCTGTATATGTGCTGCTTTAGCAACGTCCTTTTAGTCGACACAGCAGTTAGACTGTTTACTGCACAACACTGGAGCAGTGTGGGGCTCTGGTGATCATATCCACTTTCATTTTTCAAACCTGTGCTTTCAAACCAGCAACTAAAACACATTTACTAGTAAACATTCTGCAGTTCTTATATAGTGGACATGGGTGAGCATGTTTGCTCAGGAACCATCAGCTTTATAGAGCTTTAGGCCGTAAGACTGAATCTACATTATTGGTGTCATTGTGGTTTTAGAGCTCAAAGAACAGCTGAAAGAACATGAAACAGAAAACAGACCGAAAACCCAGCTTTTGAATGATGACTAAGATTCAGCATGATAAAAATAAAGCATGCCTGTCGGTCCATCTGGACTACATGCCTAATGTAAACTAGATCCTATGCATATCTGACATTTCAATAATTAATTCATTAATTCCTTCATTCATTCTATGAGATTCGTCTTTTAATAGTCTTTTGTTTTTGCTGATTAGCCTAGAAAGACAGAGATGAGAAATTAGAGAACTTCAGCAATAACATTAGGGGTGTAGATGATTTCTGAGGATTCAATTCGGTTTCTTATATTTAATGTTGGGCTACAACACACACACACACTTTCTAAGATGCTTATCTTCCTGGGTCGTGGGGGGGGGGCTGGAGCGTTCATTGGGTGGAAGGCAGGAAACACCCTGGACAGGCCGCCAATCCATCAGAGGGCAAACACACAGACATACACATTCACACACCTTAGGCCAATTTAGCATCTTCAATTGGCCTGACCGCATGTCCTTGGACTGTGGGAGAAAACCGAAGCACCCACTGAGAGAACCAAACCCAGGCCCTTCTTGCTGTGAGGCAACAACCCTATCCACTGTGCCAAAAATCAGTAACATCGACAATAAAAATAGTTGGCATTGAATCATATCTATTATTTGGCTTAACGCGCATCTAACGTTACATCGAGGAACACATTGAGATACACACTCAATCAACCAAGATCAGAATCAGCAATCAGCCAATTTATTATTTTATTCTGGCTGATCTGTGTTGCAATTTTTGAATATAAATAACATGACTCAGGTTAGGTTACTTGCTCTGTATTTGAATGCTTTGAATAAATGACTCATTGCGCTCAACAGCCTGTGACCCCTTACTTTCAGTGTAGCACTTCATATGATTCATATTATTTAGGTAGACAACTCATTTTATTTAACAAGCAAAGAGTGTTATTTACATTGCAACTTTAAGTTGATAAAAAGCATTAGAAATGCGCTGGCGTGTTTCAGGTTGGGCTCTTGGTTTAAAAATTGGCCAATCAACAGGATTCAGCTGTAAAAATGACTGGTGCTCCTCTAGTTACATCTCTTCATTAAAAGAAAATGCAAATGATGGAGACAGCAGTGCAGGGTCAAACATGAACCAAAAAGTCAAAAAATATGGAAACACTTTTTAATAGCGTCTTGAAAATATGGTTTTCTACAAATTGTGTAAAACTGAGCTCACCTGGCTCAACAGCATCCACAGCAGAAGTTCAGCATGGGGAGTAACTAAGATAAATGAAATATTCTCAAATTAAAAAAAAAAAAAGTTTTCACCAGCACTCTTTATAAAAATCCCAGTCATTTGAGTGTGGGTGTGTCCACAGCCCAACCCCCTCCAAGTCCCACCCCATCCATTGACAACTTTACTCTGACAGGATGAATGAAGATGCCTAGTTTTCGTCAGCGACAGCAATTTCCACGAAAGATGGCAAATGAGAGACGCTCGGAAGACAACGAGGCATATCGTCGTTAGACGTAAGTGAAACGCCACCTTAAGGCTGAAAAGCTGAGTGCAATTTCCGTCCCTGAACATGCAATGCTGTTGTAACTCGGCCACCTGCACTCTCTTCGGCGGATGGATGGCTGCCTTACGCACGCCGGGTACACTTTATCAGACGCAATCACTGTTACACCTCTGAAACATTTCCTGTAACAACGCTCTGCTGTATCAAAGCACTCATTTTTATAATTTGCTGTATCTGTATGCAAAACAATGGCAGATTTCTGATTTGGCTCCCTGTTTGTGAACAAGCTGAGGACCGTTAGCATCAACACTCACAGCCGCCACTGACTGCATAATGAAATACTGGGACGCATAATAAAACATTGGACTCAGCTTTTAAAAAATGTGCATCGGACAGATGTTTAGATTTGACCCATATCTCAAACTGATGTTTGATACTTGATGCTGGTCTACTGCAATAAAATATCTGCATTTTATTAATTGTGCTGCATTTGTAATCCTATAGAAATAAGCATTGCGAAGTTATGTTTCTTTGTAAAGCTAATCCAGGTAGATTGAGGACAAATTTCTACAGTCTATAAGCATTTATGCATCAACATCGACACGATATACACACACATGTACGTGAAAAATGACGGATATCAGCATCGGCCCACAATTCCGATGTCAGTGCATCCATATCACTCTTCGGTCGGTGCAGCCTTCACAAGCATAGAGAACTTAAGTAAATGTTTGCAGCTATTTTAAGAGTTTAATCTGAAATAGTTTAACATGAGTTATTATGTACATTACTGCGCAAAAGTCTTAAGTATTAAAGCGCATTGTTTAAAACCATATATCTTGGCTATTAGTGCATCTGTGCTTGTAAAAACACCTTACAACATTACAATAAATGCAAACTAACTAAAATACAGTAAAACAGTAACAAGAATCACTATCAATAAAGTAGCTGATCTCTTTTGAGCAAGTCAGATTTGTAAAATTCTATTATTAGCACATCTGATTAAAAGGAAAATTCCACTAATTTTTCAACATTTCTGTATAATTAAATGACTAAGATGTAAGCGGTCATTCAGAGTGGTTTGGTGTGAAACGCTCTGTTCTAGAGAAACTTGCTTAGTCAGAATTGTTCACAGTGGTGGTGATAGGAACCAGACGCCTGAAGCATTTAATGCCTCTAAAAGCTCCCTCACAGAAAGTAAAGTTATTACAAGAAATGATTTTACGATAGCTCCGAAATCAGATTTTGGGCTAAAATATATTTTTAAAATACATGCAAGGTGGAGAGGTGTATGCAGGGTGTTGTAAGGCAAAACAGTCCCCCAAAAAAGGGACTGGAAAATTTTTTTTCCAGATTTAGCACTATTTTAGCATCATCGGTATCATATATAAAAACTCAGAAGACTCGTGTAGGTTCACTGGCGGCTTTAGAAAGCAAATAAAACGGCTATATTTGTGTTGTTGTCATCATGATGCCTGATTACTTGTAGTACTTGTAGTAGTACAATGAACCACTTCACATCAAACCACTCTGACTTTGTTTACATCTCAAAAACTGAAGTAACCAGAGTGCAATGGGTTCCCATTTTAGGTCTTGGTTCCTTAAGACTTCTTCCTCTTGTTCTGAGGGAGTTTTTCTTGCCACTGTCCACCTTGGCTTGCTCACTGTTGCTTGGACCTGGATTTTCTGTAAAGCTGCTTTGTGACCATGCCTGTTGTAAAAAGCGCTATACTAATACATTTTGACTTGAATTATGTAGAGATTTTGAAAAATGGACAGAATTCCACTTTAATTTACTGAAGCAATGATTTGATACCAGGATTGGATGATAATTACAATAAATACTGGGCTTCCTTGAGGAGAGGTTTGGAAATGGTTAAATGAAGACATTAACATACATAACACACATACATGACTGCACTTTACATGTAAATAATAGTGTATTTTGCACTTCTGTTTAGTTGCTAGCTGCATTTCATTGGCTCTGTACCTGTTCTCTGCACAATCAAGTTTTTTTTTCCTTTTTCTGAGCAAATAAACACTTACTGACCAGATCAAAAGCTTTTTAAGGTCAATTTTCTCAGGTGTCTGGAACTTTCCCACAGATCAAACATCACATTTTACTTAGTGAAGAAAGACAAAATCTAATTTGCCCATTTAGTTTCATGTTTGACCAACCAAGGCAAGGCAAATGACCACTCAGGCCACAAGCTCTGCATTTTTAGTGGCCAAAATATCAAATGTGGCCAGGGCACTGGGCAATAGGCAATGTCTACCCCTGTTTACAAACTGGAGCCTAAAAGCGATCTCGTAGAAGATCTGAAGTAAGTCCGAGTCGAGGCTGCGTCCAGAGAATTGTCCCATAGTGTTGTGCAGTGTGATTCTCATCCAAAAGCTACTCAGCATTTCTGAGAGTGAGGAGGGAAAGCAGCCTCCGCAGTGACACCAGCATTAAACGGACACTTAACTCAGGGAAAACTGGAGAAAGGAGCAGCGAGACGGCGAGCTATTACTTCTGCAGGACACTGCATGAGAGGTGGGCGTTTGCGTACTGTTGTCCGACCTTCAGAACGCATCGCTGCCCGATCCCTGACCGATACAGGCTCTGCCTGCATAGCGCCGCATCCTACACGCGCGGGCTTTGCCACATTAGGTCCCTTTCACGTCCAGCAGATGCAAATGGGCCCCGGATTCCACATCCTCAGCTTGAATAATTGATGCACCATATGCATACCGCCTTGAAAGGAGGCACATGGGGATTGGAGACTGTTTATAACCGACAGGACGAGATAAGAAGAAAAAGAAAAGGTGCTGGAAAAGTATTTCATCACTTGAAAACTTGCAGAAAGGGCTAGAATAAAGGTCTGCCGGTGCACAGCAGAGATGCTTTCTGCTACTTTAAGTGTGTGGGAGGAAACAAGCCAGCATACAACTTATAGTATTGACTGAGATCACTGAAGAAACGCTGGCCGGCTCAGTCAGGACAGGAAATTGGTAACGCACAGCTGTGACATCTTGTGATCCTTATTAGACAGGCAGCAGAGGGGAGAGTACCTACCACACATAACCACACGGCACAAGGGATGAAGGCATGCGAGAGGAAAAGAGCCACACACAAAGCTTTAAACGGCCCATATTATGGAAATATCAGTTTTCCTCACTTTTATTTTGAAAAAGTTTGACGCAGTGTGTAAACATCGTTAAAGTTTCACTTCTCAGTTCACACAGTCCATATACGTTAACTAAGCTGTCTGTTTTGAATCCAGTGTTTTTGTGATGTCACAAAGGTGACCACATTTGCATATATCTGCCGAGTCATATCTACTGCGCCCATTCACACTGACGCTGTAAGAAGCGTTTCAGCTTGGACTCCTTTTTGAACGAGACACAATACAAGGCAGCCAATCAGAACAAGCTCATTTACATAACACTCTTAAAGCCGCAGTCACGAAAACACAGTTTACTTCTAATGGGGTAAACAGGGGTTAGAAAGCGGCTAACTGACGTATACAGAACCACACAAATAAAATCGTAAGCAAGATAAAACTCAAGAAAAATGTAGGATATCGGCCCTTTAAAGCCAAAAGAGTTTTACATGGCGCTTCCACTGCACTTCATGCCCCATCCAGCAGAGGGAGCTCCTGTAGAATGCCTGAATGCCAATAGCGCGTGTAATGTTATTCAGTTATGTACAGTATTATGTAATGACTTACTGTTCAGAGTTTATTAGCGTAACATAGTTATAGAGAGTATTATCGAACTCCCTACAGCACAGGGTTTATTAATAGTACACAGTTATAGACAGTATTACAGTATTATCTAATGCTTGGCAGCCCAGAGTTTATTAATATTAGAAAGTCACACAGGGTTATCGAGTTACTGTGTAAGAGTGGAGGGAACAGGAGCAGCACAGCAATAAACAAACAAGCAGCTTTGAGTACAAACCTAGTTATAGACTAGCAATGCATGTACAGCTCAGAAATGAAAGAAAAGTTACATAAGTAACAGAGTTGCAGTAGTATTTTAAAGTAGTATTGCAGTCGTATTTAAAAGTAGTTTTTACCCTTATTCACTTGTCCAGCATACAACAGAGTTAAAAGTAAACACGTTCAAATAAATCTGTAGAAGAGAAAAAGCCTGCAGGGCTTCTGCAGTGTGCCAGGCTGACAGAAAGCCGGAGTCAGCTTCTTGTTCGAATTTTTCCGTTCCACCTTAAATGGTGCAGCAGTTACATTCTGGCGCCTGAGGCGCCAGAATGTAACTGCTGCACCATTTAAGGTGGAACGGAAAAATTCGAAAAAGAAACTGGCTTCAGCCTGTGCGTGAGAGAGAGAAAGAGAGAGAGAGAGCGCGCGCTACAGCTAACACTTCAGCTAGCATCCACTTTGAACCACAACCACATTTAAACCAGAAAAGCCAAGAAAAATAAAAAACACACTAACAAGAGCGGAGCCTTCAAACAAGCCGCGGCTCACCTGAGATACGTGCCGAACGTCCGTCCTCCTCTGCTTTTGCTGGCTACAGTCCGTGGAGTAGAGTTGACCAGCAGCGCTGCTGCCCGCCGCATTTACATTCACCCACTCTGAGGATCCACTGAACAGGAAACGCCGCTGAAGCGCGGGTTGCCAGCTCCTGATGAAATCCCACCGCGCTCTGACGTCACGACCCACGAACAGGAGATTAAAAAAATGCTTTTCGTACCTAAATCGCTCGTCGTTACATACGGAGACCCTGAGATGGCATGGCGATTATTTTTTAATAAGGTTTGGCCACAAATTACTATATTGAGGCCATGAGTTACTACATTAAGGCCACAAATAATATATTGAGGCCACAAATTACTATTTTGAAGCCACAAATTTATATACTGAGGCCACAAATAACTATATTGAGGCCACAAATTACTATATAGAAGCCACACATTAATATATTGAGGAGACAAATAACTATATTGAGGCAGCAAATTATTATATTGTGGCCACAAATAACTATATTAAGGCCACAAATTAATATATTGAGACTACAAAATACTGTATATAGGCCACAAATAACTATATTGAAGCCACAACTTAATACATTTAGGCAACAAATAACAATATTGAGGCCACACATTACTATATTGAGGCCACAAACTAATACATTGAGGCCACAAATTAATATATAGAGGCCACAAATTAATGGATTGAGTCCACAAATAACAGTATTGTGTATTCCTATATTGAGGCCATGAGTTACGAGAAATTTAATAAATGAAATATTTTTTCTATTTTTCCAATAAAGATTTAGAAAGGGGGAAAATGATGTTGGGTTGCCTAACCTTGCAAAACTCCATGCTATTTACAAATAACTAGATCTACACCTCGATGACTCAATTTTTTGTTTTTAAATTACCATTTATGATTTATTTCTCAATGAACTGGCAGTGATTAGTCGGCAGTTCACATGATGATATGCATATCTGCCCTTTACAGTAAGAAACAGAGGCAGATGAACACACAAGAATGTGAGATAGAGACAAAATATGACAATATTCAACATTGTAAAGCGCTGTATTATTTACACATAAGTAACTCTTATATTATGCTTTTTGCTCTATAGTAGATTAAATGGGCTGAAAGTATATTTGACAATATTTTTAATGAAAATAGAAAAATGTACCTAATATAGCTCCCTATATGCTGCTATAAGACACTGTACACTGTCTTCTGTACTTTAGTGTGAAGTGAACTGAGCACATGTCTAATCATAGTGCATATTCCTCAAACATATGCCAGGATATTTCACTATATCCATTTCACTAATCTGCTGCTCTACAATCCAAGAGTTCATCCCAGTTTATGGTAAAGGTCACTCTCCCCGATGGTCAGCAGCTGTGTGCTATCTGACTGTGAGTAAGGTCATTTACTTGGCCTGTCTCTCCGTGGGATCTCTCTTTAGGCTTACTTAGGCCGGAACAGATGATTGAGAAGGAGCTGAGATTTGCGAGCTATTACTCCATAATCTAGACGCATTATAAACGCACTGGGCGGATTTAACTGTCTCATCACAGCCACTGATAATCATTAACATCCATCTCTGAAATTTGATGCTTGATTTTTGACCACATGTGGCTACAAAGGGAGTCCAGTCAACGTTTTTTTTGGTCACATAGAATGACTTTTTTTAACCAAACAATAAAAAATAAAAAAATGATTCTGAACAAAAGTGTGAAAATTACATTTATCAAAAAAGTTCAAAAGGGGAATGTTAGATTTTTTTTTCATCTAAAATACAATAATACAAAAATTCAGCACTTTAGACCAATCAGAACAAGCTCTTTGGCATTTTCCTCACCATACACAATCCAGTTATGGCCGTAAATGAGGTCAAATGGGATTTTCCATACGTTATGTTGGACTGCTCATTAAACAAACTCTGCATTTGCACAGATTTTGAATATATTCCCATTTCTTTCTACACCAAACGGTGGGTTCTACATGGATTCTATAGTAAGATTTACATACACAACAGTGACAACTCAAAAAACATTTAAATATTTAACTATTGTTTTTTTGCATGCTTAAGTGCTTCTTCTCTATGATGGAGAACCTTTTGTGCATTGTTGGCATATGATATGTACATTCATATACTAAAGAACCTTTTAGATATAGCACCTAAAAGGATTCCACCATAGTTATATTTCAAATAAACCTTTTTAGGGACCATATCATGAAAAATCTAAATTTCCTTGCTGAAATTAAAACACTGTTAATGCTTTAAAATGTTTGCGATGTCCCAACGAACAGCACATTTACACAAATTGAGTTCACAAATTAACACATTGAGGCCATAAATAACTATATTGTGCACACAAATTAATATATTGAGGTCACAAATCAATATACTGAGGCCACAAATAGCTACATTGAGGCCACAAATAACTATATAGTGGCCACACATAACTATATTGAGGCCACAAATTAATATATTGAGGTCACAAATTACCATATTGAGACTATGAGTTATGAGAAACTTTCATGGCCTCAATATAGTAATTTGTGGCCACACCTTCTTAAAAATCATCACCATGTCTCTATAATTACAGAATTCCATTAATACAGAACTACGAACAACGAATACTTTGAACATTACCGAATGTATTTCCTTAAATTGAGATTTTTTTATTAGTTATTTTAATTGATATTTTCTCCTCTTTGGCAGTGTTGCCCAGTCTTTTTGTCTTTGGGGGCCAAGGTGTAATGTTTGTGGTGAGTCAGGGGCAAAAAACTAAAACAGCACACAAATAAAGAAGATCTAAATTTCCTTGCTGAAATAAAAGATTTTGATGTAAAATGAAAAAATTGTTTGTGATGTCACAAAAAACACATTTACATAAATTCTGCTTACAGCAGTTTAACCCCACCCACTGAAATTATAAAGTGTTTCAATATTTATTTATTGAGGTGCAATACAGCCAATCAGAACAGAGCTTATTTACATATATCAGCCTTAAATGTGCAGTAAGGGAAAAACAACTCTAATTCTAGGGGCTAAAGAGAGGTCGGAACAAATCCTCTTCTAACTGTATTCATCTAACTTAATAACAAGAAATTATCATTATGTTTTACTGTATCCATGTTTACTCGCATATATTCTAATGTGAAACAGTGTTTTTACTGGCAAAAAATCTCTGACTGCTGATATACAAATCAGTTCTTGCCTGCCTGAGGCTTTTCCACGGTACTGTAGCCTATTTGTTCCATATATGTATAACTATCTGCTGCTAAAATGTGCAACACCCCAATCCCCTTCCCGCCTCTGCCCCTCCCATTCAGAGCTTAACTGAGAATTTCAGGTTTTTCTGGAAGCCCATAATTACCAGTACGGTGGTTCACAGACCAGGTTGCCAGGTAACATCGCCCAGGAGATTGCACTTGGATTTTGGTTGCACAATCAGGTGGATTATTATTTTACTCCTACAGCAGTTAATGCCACGGTCGGCTAAAGTGGAGAGTTGAGCGGGTCAATATTTTAACAGCAGACTCTTCTTTAACGCAGACAGAGCCAAGCTGTGCTGGTAGTTACAGCACCTGTTAATGACATTCGTTCTCTGTGACTTTATACTTTATACTACGATCAATCAGTGACTTTATACTTTATGCTACGCTGCTACAACCCTGTACTCTCTCCCTCTCTCTCTCTCTCTCTCTCTCTCTGTCTCTCTCTGTCTCTCTCTCTCTCTCTCTCTCTCTCTGTGAGGCAGTCTGCCAGTGTTCCAGGCCAGCAGTCTGGGTGTGATCGAGGTGTGAACAGCACACAGTAGTTTAACTGAGTGCTGCTGTGCACTGGAGCAAGAGACACTCAACCTCAACAGGAACTGAGCCAATGTCAAATAAAGTCTTACAGTTTGACACCCTCCCCTCTCTCTCTGTCTCTCTCTCTCTCTACGTCTCCTTCTCTCTCTGTCGTTCTTGGTCTTCTCCTCTCTCTCACTTTTCTCTCATCTGCCTTTCTCTTTCTCTCTCACTCCCTCTCACCTCTGCCTTTATCTTTCTCTCGATCTCCCCTTTTTGCTTTCCTTCTGCCACTCAGCCACTTCTATGACCTAAACATTATTATAGTTTTCTTTTAGTTTGCTACATGACGCAGTTGTTTCTCTGACATCGACCTGTACATGTTGTTGTTGTGAGTCATGCTGTCCAGGGTTGGCATGGCGTCGACTGTGGGCAGCCTCGTATTGTCTTGCTGGTGCTGATGGCCTTTGTGTAGGGCTGGACACCCCACTGTTTACAGCCCCAGCTTCTCTGCCTGTATAATTCTCCCTCTCTGGAGCTGTGGAGCCTACAGCAGGAAATGACCTGAAGTGACTTTATCTGAAACTGTCTGCTGACTGCATTCAGCATGCCACCTCTCTGTGATTACCATCGTTTTGGCACAAAATTACTTTCAGAAGTGGCTTGGATGCCATGAAGTCAACTGAGTGTAACCACCAGAATGGAGGTAGCGTTACCATGGAAATTTGAGCAGCATAACCATAAAAATGGGCGTATCGAAACCATGGAAGTGGGTGTATAATAACCATAGAAGCACACCTTAATTATAAACATAGGTGTAGCATAACAATGAAAATGGATGTAGTGTAACCATAGAAATAACTATAGTGCAACCATGGAAATGGGTGTAGCATAACTATGGAAATGAGTGTAGTGCAACTATAGAAATGAGTGTAGTGCAACCATGGAAATGGGTGTAATATAACCATGGAAATAGGTGTAGGGTAACCATGGAAATGGGTGTAGTGCAACCATGGAAATGTGTGTAGCATAACCATGGAAATGAGTGTAGTGCAACCATGGAAATGGGTGTAATATAACCATGGAAATAGGTGTAGGGTAACCATGGAAATGGGTGTAGTGCAACTGTGGAAATGAATGGAATGCAACCATGTAAATGCGTGTAGCGTAATCGTGGAAATGGGTGTAGTGTAACCATGGTACCCTACATAGATGCACAATTACAAACCATAGCCCATCTGGTGCTGCACACTTTCTCAGTCATCCATCGCTTATTCTTATTGGCAGTCTCATATAAACTAACATAGCTGGGTAACACATCTAAAAATTGCGTTCCTTTTATTCAAGTGTAAGTTATCGCTCCTCATTTCTGAACAGAGCTCACAGACAAAATCAAAATGCACACATTATTAAATTTATTAAATGCACAAACTCCAAAATGTGTATTTTTTATGCTTATAAAATGCTTTCTTGTGCTCCTTAAATGTTCATAGATGTTCATGAAAGTGATGGGACAACTTGTACGTAAATAACAGCAGTGCAGATGATTGCTGCATTGATGCTACATTTGAAGGTCAGAACTCACAAAACAGCGGGTCTCATCTGCAGTATCTGAACTTGTACATGAAGAACTTATAAGTGACCACTCTGTACCTACAGTGGAAACTTTATTTCATTTGACAGTCAGTAAGAGGATAAAAGGCCTGAGTTTCTACTTGTTTCTGGGCAGATCAGCACAGCTTTTCTTGGAACTGGGGGTCTGTCTTCTCGTCATACTTCGGTACGTCCCCTATCTCTCTTTTAGATACTTCTGCATTTGCTTCAATACAGATGGTTAAGGGTTTATGTCCAGTGGTGTCTCTTTAATAGAGGTTTAACTGGCGCTGTCACAATCTGATTGGCTGAGTCACATTTAAAGCCATTCTAAATACTTGATATAGACTTATTTGCTTGCACATATTAAGTACATTCTATAGTACAGTACAGGTTAACTACTGTGCTGTACATAAAGTAATCTGTGACTGTTATGCTCTTTAACTATAGCCAACCGTTAACAAATCACATCGCTTGGAGGAACAATGTTTTTACAGAAGGTACTTTGTGTTGGGTCTTATAATACCACTCAAAGGGCAATTCCACCAATGTTTCAAAATTTCTGCGTAATTAAAAAGTGATCTAAACAAAGTCAATCAGAGTGGTTTGGTGTAAAATGTTCCATTCTGGAGAAACTTACCAGTCAGAATTGTTTACAGTAGTGGTGACAGGAACTAGATATCTGAAGAGTTTAATGCCTCTAAAAGCTCCTTCTCAGAATGTAATTATATGAAGAGTTTTTAAATATGTTGTCTGTTGCCTAAGACACTGTTTTACAATAGTTTTGAAATAAGATTTTGGCATAAAACTTTTAAAATTTATTCATAGTGGAGGGTACATACAGGGCTCTGTAAGGTAAAATAAGTTTCTAAAGAAAACAGAGTTTTTTGGGGGATTTTTCCATTATTAACATTGCATATATACAGACTTTTTTGGATTTTTCTGTTACATTTTAACATTACATATAAAGCCTCAGAAGACGCGTGTAGACTCACTGATGGTTTTGCATGGTAAATAATACGGGCATATTTGTGTTGTAAAGTTCAAGACCTCTGGTTCCTATCACCACCACTTTAAAGGAATGGGAGTCAGTAAGTTTCTCTATAATGAGCCTTTTCACATCAAACCACTCCACACTTTCAGAAAAAAAGGTAGTAAACTGTCATTGGGGTGGTACCCTCGATGGTACATATCAGTAACTGTAGTGAGCGAACATAACTGTACCGTAATCCATTGAAATTATATTTTCTAAGCTGTGTTGACTCCACACACCCCGTCTCGACTCCAGGCTTTTTATTTTATTGTTCTGTTTTAAAACATTAGGTCATGAAAAGGTTCAAATATGTACTTTTCACCTGGGAAAAACTCTCAGGTACACAATTGAACCCTAAAACCACTGTTGTACCTTTGAGGGAACATTTACATTGTTTGTATCTTGATGAACAAAAAATGTACCACAGAACCTTTATTTCTAACAGTGTAAATGATGTTGTTGACATCTCAACACTTTAATTATGTAGAAATTCTGAAAAAATTGGATGGAATTCCCTTTTAACTGTTGTAAAATGAGTGTAATGCATGATCCCCTTTTGGCTCATTGTTTTATTAGTTTCTAAGTTAAGTCTCTTAAACAGCTTCTCAGGAAGACGTCCCTGAACACAACAACTGAGCAGCTCTGTACCAATAAAAAGCATCAAACGGAATTAAACCTTTTGATTAAAAGGTCATCGCTGACACTGGGTGGAAAAGTCTGCGGATTGGGAAGCTTTCTTCTCTCAGCTGAATCACAAATTGCAGTAAAAATCTGACTCTTCTCAGCCCATTTAGCTTGTATTTTATTGGATGAGTGAAACAAGCTATTCACAGCACTTAAATCCAAAGCAGATAATGTTACATCTTTGACCTTCATGAATATCTCTCCTGCCATGTTCGGGCTTTGAGACTGTTTCCCAGTGCTTTTCTCAGCCGCATGTGTTTTGTCAGACTTTAATGGGCAGAGACAGCTTCCTGTTGGTTGAATGACCAGTGCACTGTAAACCCAGCAGTGCCAAATTAACTGTTTCAGCATTAAATTTCCTCTTAGGAACTGAAAGAATGGTGTTTTGACTGAAAGGCCTGCTGAGTTGAGCTGAGAGTGGCTCATAGACCTGAATCTTACTTCAGAACATTAGACTGTCTGTCAAGTTCAACTGCTTCCCTCCACCTCTTTCAAGTTCCATGTTGTACGTTTTAAAAGACCCATTTTGTGAAAAACAGACTTAAAGCTCATACTGTATCTGGTTACTTAGCTGTGAAAACAGCCTGTTTTGAGTTTGTCATAGTTGTGATGTCACAACCATGAACACATTTACATATGTGCTCCGTCCTTTCGGCCTACAGCAGTTTAGCCCTGCCCATTCCCACTGAAGTGGTGGTGTTACTACAGTCTATAAAAGTTAAAGTGGAAAATAAATGAAGTGGAAAATGATTAAAGGGCCCATATCCTACATTTTTACTTTATTTTTCCCCTGAGGTCCACTTATAACAGTACATTTTCAAACTTTAACAGTGTTTAAATACAACATCAAACACTTATTTCAAGAAAGTGAGGAAAAGTCAGGTTTCCATGATATGGGCCCTTTAAACGTTCTGCTGTTCCTGGCTGTCAGAAGGCAAATACATTACTGTAGCCTTCCAAAAGATCCACACACCCAATATGAGTACCATTTCCCAATTTCCTGGTGATATGAGTTTGAATTGAATAGTTTATTCCAATTTCCAGTCCATTTTTTGAAGGAGGTTCAGGACACAGTAGCCTATGAGAACAGAGTTTGCATACATATATTATTCCCAGCCTGTTAATTTCCAGTTAATAAATTACTAAATGAATTGCTTAATTAAAAGTGTTCTTTTAAAAAAAGATAATAATAATATTGTTAAGATTAAAAATGCAAGAACAATGTAGAACATGGCCCCTTTAATGTAGTTAATAACAACCCAGTCATTTGCCTTTGTGACACCCCCCCCCCCAAAACTCCTATATAAATGCTCCAGGCTGAAGTGGCAGCAGAGACTGAAGGATGGCCAGCTCATCTCTTATGACCACTGCAGTTGTCCTCTGTCTGGTGTACCACTCACATACTGACAACACTGCTCTTCTCAATGGTAAGGATATACTGCACTGATCACATTAACATTTCAACTGCACTGTAACTGAAGCAGGTCATGGTTTTGTATGATTCAATTGAATGGGATACTTTTTAGTGTCATTGTTCACAGTCTTGAAAATAGAGGTACTATTTAGGTTCTTTTGATGCCGTAAAAGATTTTTGAAACCATTTACTCCCCGAGTCTAATTCTTAGCTACGTTATAGCCAAATTGAGCACATTGGCTCCAACAGACAGTGTGTATGTAATGTAAGTCATGTAGATTGATCCAGTGTTAAAGGGGAAGGTCTCACTTTATTTGGATTGTCCACTATAGTCCCCGACAGATTATCTACAGATGTTTACATTGTTAACAAACTATGTGTTAAAACTCTAAACAGATTCTAAACAGTGGGGTTAGGGTTAGGATTTGGACCGGGATTAGGGCTAGGAGCAGCGTGAAGGTTGGGTTTAGATTTTGGGTTGAGGTCAAGGTTAGGGTCAGGATTAGAGCCAGGCTTAGAGTCGAAAATTAGAGTGAATTTAGTAGATATTTAGTTGAATATAACTTGAAAGTAAATTAAGTATCTACGAAGCATCTGAAGTGTACCATACAAATAAAGTGCTAAAAAGGGAAAATCCAGCGAGTTTTCAAAATTTCGGCAAAATTACACGACTAAAGTGAAAACAAAGTCATTCAGAGTGGTTTGATGTTGATGTGAAATGCTGTGTTCTAGAGAGTCAGAGTGACAGTTGTTCACAGTGGTGGTGATACGAACCAGATGTCCAAGCATTTAATGCCTCTAAAAGCTCCTTCACAGAAAGTTGCTACATGAAATGATTATTAATAAGTTGAATAATGTCTGAGACATCAGTGTTTTGGCCTAAAATGTCCTCTTAAAAGTCTATTCATGGTGGAAGGGTACATGCAGGGTGTAGTAAGGCAAAATAGCACCAAAGGAAACATATTTTTTCATACTTATCACTATTTTACCATGATAAATCTGAAGACATTACATCAGAAGACACATCTTCTTCACCAGTCATCTTAGATAGTAAATAAATGGCATGGTTCCTATCACCATCACTGTAAAGAAATTCAAAAAGGTACATTTTAACAGCTGGTTAATTAATCATCTCACATCAAACCACTCTGAATGACTTTGTTTACATCTCAATAATTGAAGCATAAAGAAATTTTTGAAAATTAGTAAAATTCCCCTTCATGAAGTGCCTGAAATGAAAACTTTTATTCCTAATTTTATATTATTAAGTAATTCTGGAATATTTCTATACATACATTTCTATATACATTACTTTGTCCATTACATTACATTATTGGTCATTTTGATATGATGGTAAGTTTGTATGTCAATAAAAGTAAATGAGATGAACTGTTTGTCATTCAGGAATGAAGTGTGGCTCTCCACAGATAAGGACGGTTGATCGTTCTTTGAGGGTCGTTGGAGGGTCAGAGGTGTCTTACGGTTCTCACCCATGGCTGGCACGTACCTGTTTGGATTGTATCTGTAGGCTCTGCAGTAAATACAGTAGAACAGAGTGATGTGGAAGTTTTATGCTCTACTGTGACATTCTGTGGTTATAGATGAATAACCTCAGCTGTGTGGATTTACTCAGGTATCTCTGAGGTTCAGGGGTTCTCATTTCTGCGGAGCTGCCATCCTTGCTGACCGCTGGCTCCTGACTGCAGCTCACTGCTTCTCAGATTCCTCAGAGTAGGCTCTCCTGTTTCATCCTTTCACTCTAAGAAAACAACAACAACAACAACAACAACAACAACAATAAACACCAACAAGAACAACTAAAGACAACTACAATACAACCACCAACAGCAACACTACCGCTACTACTATAACTACTAACAGTAATAATAAATAGTATATTGATGATAATAATAATAATAATAATAATAATAATAGATTTTCATCCTTTATTTTTAACCCCTAAACTTCAGGAACTCACCTTCCTTACATTGCAAATTAGTTTCATTATAGTTACTAAATGATAAATCAAATCAAATCAAATCAAATTTATTTGTACAGCGCTTTTTACAACTGATGTTGTCACAAAGCAGCTTCACAGAAATCCGTTTAGGACAAAGTTTCAACATGAAATGTAAATCCTCCAGGTGAGCAAGCCAGGGGCGACAGTGGCCAGGAAAAACTCCCTCAGAGCTGAGGAAGAAACCTTGGGAGGAACCAAGGCTCACATGGGGTCAAACTACGTACAAAATTATTATTCTACTAATATTAATAGTAATAATAGTAGTAATAGTGATAAGCCTTAAAATGAACAACACAGACCTTGTTACTGGTCTTAAAACACATTAATCAAGATTAAAGGGCCCATATCATGGAAAACAGAACTTTCCTCATTTTTTAAAATAAGAAGCTTAGATTTACTATATAAACACTGTTAAAGTTTCGAAATATACCATTCATTCAGTCCATATGGTTCATATACATAATTTAAGCTACAAAAAAATCAGGAATTCATTATTTTTGTGATTTCACAAAATCAAGTGTATTTACATATATTCCTCCTAGTCACAGCAGTTTAGCTCCACCCACTCTTACTGAAGTTACAAAGTGTTTCAGTCTGGATTTCTTTTTGAATGTGGCACAAAACAGGGCAGCCAATCAGAACAGAGTAAATTTACATATAGCAGTTTTAAGGCACAGTAGCAAAAACAAAAATTCAGGGATGAAGAGATGTCATGTAAAAATGAAGTACAGCTGCTATTGCTAACCTACACTAATGTGATAAGTTGACTGCTGGGGAAAAAACAAAATACAAATGTAGGATATGGACCTTTTAAATATAAATAAAAAAGGAGTAATAATGATAGTCAGTAACTTCCATTAACTCTTCAATAACTCCTATAAAGCATGTAAGCTATTCTGTTACAAAAGTGAGAACTAGAGTGTGACCCTGTTCGTGGACCTTTAGAGGTTACCAAAGAACAGCTCTGCAGTTTGTCCATAAGTTTAGTAACATGCATAGCACTTTCAACTACAATTGTTGCCCAAAAGTGCTGCTTAGTATACATAATATTTAATAAAGGAAAAGTCTTATGTGCTCCTAAGTGTTCTGCTACCTGCTGGTTGCCCTGCAGGGATTTCCTGTGCAGCGTGGAGGCCGTGGTGGGCGAGCATGACCAGAGGGTGATGGACCGAGGGGAACGGAGGTTTCGGGTGAAGAGCGTAAAGCTTCATGAGCAGTACCAACCCACCGTTCCCATGAGCTACGACATCGCTCTACTGGAGCTTCAGGGAACCATCCAATTCAGCAAGTTGCTCACATACTCTCTACTGTGAAAGCCTGTAATACACTCACAACATGGCCTGAGTTTATTTGCACTGTACTGCATATTTTAAACTCACATTGAGCTTTATGACATATTTTGAGGTTTAAAAAAAAAAAGAATTTCATTAAAAGGAAAAGGTAAATCTCTGAGGCTGTATTTGAAAAGTTTCCAGGTATGTTTTACCAGAGGAATAAATCTTGTGAGTAAACACAGAGTAAACATTTGCTCAGCAGTGAGTAAACGTGTCTGACCACGCTCACAATCACAGCTCTGTAAGGCATATCATACGCTCATCAGTGCATTTCATTGACAGGTGAATTCGTCCAGCCGGCATGTCTTCCTCTTCCCGGTGAGATCTTTCCTCCAAAGACCACGTGTCTCGTTGCTGGATGGGGACGGACAAAAGAGAGTAAGTTGATTAAACAGGGTACCCACATCTGGGTTGTTGAGAAACAGATGTGGTTACTGCTCAACTGCTGGCCTATGCTTTAAAGGAATTCCTTCAGTGAAAAGCTTCCACATAGTGGACAATATCTTCTTTCTGCAGGCCTTCTAGTGGCCGTTCTGCAGAAGGAGTGGAAACCATCTTGGATATTTTTGATTAATATAATCAAATACACTTTTTTCAGTGTAGCTCTGTTATCAGATGAACTAGGACATTGTTATCTCTGTATGTGAAAAGCTGTGATTCTGTGTTGAGCTGCTAGCGAGCAATGAGTGGGGAAAGGGAAGGGGTGAGAACCTCCTACTGCAAAAACAATTCACCTCTCCACACAGAAGACCATGCTGAAATACTCGCATTTGTTATTTATGCGCTACACTGAGATAACCAAGGTGGCCAGACAAAAATTGGCAAAATCTTTTATCTAAAATATGACACAATCATGACAGTCAATGTGCTGCTGCAAATGCTAAGCTAAGTAAGTTGAGCTCAGCATTTCTCACTGCCCGCCTGCTCGGATATGTCCTCATCCTTATTAAGTAGCTTTTCATTCTTGTCGTCTCAGTGCCATCTTGCCACCATCTACACATGATTCACCTATGAAAGCTACTATACTGGTAATGCAAAAAGCGGTAATGAACTTTTTTAACTGATAATCTCTCAATGCTGTTGTTACCTTTTTATTTGAACTGTTCCACCTTAAATAGTGCAGCGCCTGTAGAGGCGTCTGATCTCTGTCCACTGTACAAGACTCAGTTACAGTCAGCAAACCAGGGCTACACCACTTGAGGTGGGGGCTGCTGGTTTAACCCCTAAATTATTATACGTATACACATGAATGTAACAGTTATAGTTTGTCTGAATGTTTTTGTGCTCATTTGCATATGCTTAGTCCAGTTTGTTCTTGAGGCAGCAAACATAAGAGAGTAAAATGAAAGGAACCATCGATGTAATGTCCATATTGTAATGTCCATATGTAATGTCCAGACACAAATTTACATGTTAAACAACATTTGGCACCATTTTTGCCAGGCCCAGAGAAGCCACTACATGCTTAGCCATATGCGGCATAGGTTTATCCACACATTGTTCAGTTCCACCTAATGTAAAGATTTGCTCAGTAAAAAGTATCAAGCATTACCATACAAGATTTTTTGTTAAAAGTGAAAGAAGTAGTTGTTTCTGAGCCAGGAGAAAAAATATGCTAAAATATGGCCTCTGTCTAACATGTTTACATATTAACGTCACACGCAGAGGCTCAAAAAGAAGGTCTGGCTCGATGTTCAGGTCTCAAGTGCAAAATCAACATTATGCTAATGAAGATATGATGACAATAATAGATAATTCACTCTCATCCTCAGAAGAAACATCCCTCACCATGTTCACAAAGAGGCTTCCGCTCAGGAAGAGGGACCGAAACACAACCCTACTAGAAAACCAGTTTAGACCAGCATGGCTGGTCACCAGCAAAACCAGCATATGTTGTGTTTTGAATGTTAGCACACCGGTCAGCCAGCATGACCATGCTGGGGTGACCAGCTAAACCAGAACCAGATCAGCACTACACCTGTATAAACCAGCTTAGACCAGTATAGACCAGCTTAGACTAGCATGAAATGCTTGCTGGTCTGCCCTGTTTTTTCAGCAGGGAACCAACCTTACAAAACATTCTTCAGCACGTTGTGTGCGATTACACATTTTCACCAGAGAAGTCTCCAAAATATACAGTAATTTGTGTGGTTTCTCAGATCGTTTGACATTCTGTTATCTGTAAAGACGAACAAAAGTATGTTACATTGCTAAACACAGGAGCCGCCATTTTGAAGCCTGAACTTTGTCTGTATTTTGTCTGTTTTCGTACAGTGTCAGAAACCGTAAAACAAATATATTTGGGATTACTTAGCACAGTTTGAGGCAAATGTGTGATTATTCAGGTATGCAGTTTGCCTTTTTTTAGCTACATTAGCCTCGTAGCTCCAGTGCAAAATTACAGAAGCAAATGTCAGACGCCAATCAGATCTCAGCTGACAGATAATATTTGGGGGGGGTTGGAATATTTGGATGGTGCTGAGTGTTTGGTGGTTTTCTTTGTTCTCAGGGGGTCCCTTAACTCCAGTTCTTCATGAGGTGGAGTTGGATCTGGTGGAGTCAGCTGTGTGCCAGCACGTCCTGCAGATGCTTAGACTGGGACAAGAGCACTTCACAGTGCTGTGTGCTGGACCAGAGGAAGGAGGGAAAGACGCCTGCCAGGTACAAATCTCACCTCTATTAGCTAATCTAGGCCCCCAGTGGGATACTCCAAAGCTACCATGAACATAACGTAGTCTTTGACGAATCTCTCTAGAGTAAAGGCCCTGCTCTAATGGAATCTGCTCCTTTAGAGGGAGAATTCAGACTGATACTCGCTCCAACATGCTAAACTGATTGGTTTTCAGTGGGGTTTTGGGTAAATCAGGTCCTCGGTACTGAAATTGGGGGCTGGCTTACACTCCACTCTGTATGTTTGTATGTCAGGGGGACTCGGGTGGTCCTCTGCTTTGCCCCCGGGCAGATGGACAGTGGGTGGTGGCTGGAGTCACTTCTTGGGGAAAAGGGTGCGGCCGCAGCTGGATCAACAACAGGATGAAACCTCGGACTGCACAAGGCTCACCTGCAGTGTTTACTAATGTCCCACTGTTCCTCAAGTGGCTGCTCAGAAAAGGTTTGCTTGTCTCTGGATTGGCGTCAATGTGATACCAAAACCTTATTATTCCATTTTTTTTTACTTTTACACCATTTGAAAACAGCCCTCTGTGGCGAGAGTCCGCCATTACACTAAGAAATACTCAATGGAACTCAATGGAGCCTACATAACCATGGGCAATGGTTACGAGCTGTTCTTTACACTGTGTGAATATTTCATAATGAATGGGCGAATAGAAATGGTCCCAAACTGCTCTAATTACATTAATATACATTAACATTAAAGGTGCACTCTGGCCAAAATGAGAAATGGATCCATTTGTTGTAAACATGCTTCTTCCCATCCTACAGTGGAGCCGCAGTAGTCATTAGAGTGAGATTTTCCAAATTAAAGACTAGGAAACCTCATCTCTGATGGTGTATCTTGAAGGTGGGAGGAACCTTTGAAAAACTACATTGGCAAAAGGAAGAAATCTGCTGAGATACATAATGTTACTGTTAGAAAGCTGTGTTATTGCAGCCGTGCAACTGTAGCAACGGTCTTTAAACCGTCATCACAATGGACAGAACAGATTACTCAAACAACACAAAAATGACTCGTCAAATGAAGAGGACAACCAGCTAAAAGCTAAAGGTAGCAAATTGGCTGGCTAACTAAACACATTACCTCAGTTTGGCTTCATTTCCTTGACTGAAAGGATAAAAACTTGACTCTGGTGTCCATTTTGTGCTGAACAAAGACAGAATCACTGCTTTCTGTACAACTGAGGTGAGAGTTACACTTAGCTGTATTTATTAGCCTGTAGATCAGTGGCTAGGCTAGCAGTAAGGATCGGCTGACACGAGAAATTCCCAATGGTTGTGTGGTGTATTTCTGTAATGCATGATGGGTATTGTAGACAAACTACATATTAAAATCATTAATAATAAAAATAAAAAATAAAGTTTTAGGATGGAATATCCCTCTTATCTTTTGCCTTCTCTTAGAGAGTTTCCATTTTGAAGATACAAGGCTGTTTTTTTGTTTTGTTTTTGTTTTTTTTACTACAGTAATGTTTGTGCTTTCTTATATAGCACTTTTAATAATCTAAACATGAGGGTTGCCATTTGATCCATATTGTTCTTTGGAATAAAGCTGTCAACTCTGATGTGACTTATCGCAGGAACAGCAGGCTCCCAGTGCAGTGTGGGAGACGGAGTTCTAACAGGCTCTGATGTCATCATCCGAAACCCAGCTCATCCCGGCCTGAACTACAGCAATAACGAGTGAGTCATTACAGCAGTGTCATACTCATCTGCCAGACATTTAAAATCCCTTTAATTAATACAAATTAATATTGTATTAATTTAATATTTTATCAAGGTTTTTGATGATTGTTTATTGTAGAGAGTACATTTTTTTGCAGAAAGAAAAACATCCTTTCCATTTTTGCCATGTTCTTAGGAGTGAGCGATATGGCAACAATATAATATCATGATACTTTGAGAAGTATGCATTTCAATATTTTGTATTTCTGACATCTGGTAAAAAAAAATAACACAGCCAGCAGTGCCACATTTAAAAAACACAATCAAGAACTGAAAGTGCAAAGATTTTCACTCAGCATTTCACATGCTGCTCTAAATCCAGTTACACAGGTCTATTTATACTGTCTTTAGTAATGAAACAAGCAGGTGGTCGGTGTTCTTTAAGCACTGGCACTGTTCACAACAAGCTCAGAAAAGCAGTCATATGCAAAAGTTTGAGCACCCCTGGTCAACCAGCATTTTTGTTGATTTAAAAATAAATGAACTCATTCTCTACAGGGACCTTGCAAATGGCATTTCCTGTAAATTTTAGCACAAATTTCTATTAAAAAAAAACATTGTGCAAAATTGTGCATTAAAATGTGCACGTGTTTTCTCTGTAGAGGGTGTGTTAACTTATTTTCACTTCAACACAACATATAATTTGAACAGGGGTGCACAAACTTTTGCATATGACTGTATTGTTACGTAATATACCACAACAGTTATAAATATTGTCATACTGCTCCCCCTACATGTTTTTTAATTAATCTTTGACATCAACTAATAGAAACTAATGGAAAAGGTTTAACATGCAGACTCAAATCTGCAAACCGAATTTAAATGTAACTCATTATGCAACAGCTATGCAATTTATTACGTACAAGTGCAGAACTCTTTTTAAATTGTATAGGAAATGTCCTTTGAGGACATACACAGTAAACAAGGCAGTCAATCCAGGCTAGCTGCATTTTATTTAAACTGACTCTGTTAAGTCAACAAGATACAATGTAGTATGTACTATGTACTCCACAGATTAAGGGCTCTTAACTCCAGTACTGATAGTTTGGTAGTTACTGGTAGTTTCAGAATGACTGAACCTGGAATATTGTTGTTTTTGGGCAGGGTGTGTTCCTGGTTCATCAGTGTGCCAGAAGGCAAAAACATCCTTCTGGAATTCCTGGAGTTTGACCTGGAGAACGACTCTCTGTGCTACAGTGACCACCTCACTGTGTTTGCTGATGAAAGCATGCCTCTAGGTCAGGGTGATGCCAGTGTGCAAACAGAGACACTACTTCAGCTTTTAATATGAACATACACTTCTAACCTCTGCAGTTCTTTACCTGCTCCAACTTTAACTGATGATTTAAATCGGATTATTAGAACAAGGAAAACTGGAAGCAGACAGAAAACAGCTCATCTAGTGTTCCAACATGATTTGCTGTGCTGAGACTGCATAATTCTGTACTGTGAACAAACTGTGTTGACTATATATAAATTTATGGGACAGCACTCTTCAACAGTGCTTCACACTTTGGACCCTTAACCTCTTAAATGGCCAGGGCCTGCCAGTGGGCCCAAAGTTTTATAAGACGCTTCTATAGCCTAAGAATAGCTCAACCAGTTTACGCTGAACTCCCTGTTACTGAATAATAAGCCTTAGTATGTAGTAAGCCTGGGATTTTAGGAGGTTAAATGGCCAGGACTCGCTGGCAGGCCCAAACTCCTATTACACAATTGTATAATTTAAGAAAAACTCAGCCAGTTTATATTTTAGGCCATGTAGTCACCGAATAATAAGCTTGGATGTAATAAGTCTGTGATTTTAGGGGTTTCATAAACCATTAGCAAGTCCAGATGACATCTTCAATATATGCTGGCAGTATGAGGAGACACTGTGTGAGTGTAGGCGGGAGAGACATTTGGGAACTTGTGCTGAAGTTCTGTTAGCTTCTGCTTTATGCTAGAAGGCCAAACCCCTCCTGTCCATTTCAGCAACAGTTTTAACACCATCTACTGGGCCTCAACATTTCCCTCAGGAAATGAAATCATTGCGAAATCATCACAGAAATCATTGTGAGCTGACACATTTCCCTTTTCTCACACAAAAATAATGACAGAAAAGGTGCGTAAGCCGTAGCAGTAAACTACTTTATAATACTTTATAATACAGGGGAATTCCACCATTATATCAAAATCTTGGATAAGATGGAAACAAAGTCGTTCAGAGTGGTCTGATGTGGAATCTCTCATCTAGAGAAATTTACCAAGTCAGAATTGTTCACAGTGGTGGTGATAGGAACCAGACGTCTGAAGAGTTTAATGCCACAAAGAGCTCCCTCACAGAAAGTTTTTGCAAAGTTTGCATGGCTGGCCGATAAGCACAGTGAGGCTCACCTGCTGAGGGTGAGTACATTACATTATATGAATTCTATTAAATGAATAATCTGTTCCTCACTGCCCCCTCCTTGGACTTGGAAGACATGGTAGCATGCTAGCAGGCTACTAGCCCAGCTTGGTAGCATTGTGTGACAGGGGGAACAGAATTAGCAGTTAGCATTCTCCTCCAGGGGTGTTGAGCTGTCCAGTGACTTTGCAATGGCTGTGGCGCTTTATGTGTCACAAGCTAGCCTTTACCCTCACGTCTAGAGGGTAAAGGCTTAAACTTAGCTAGTAGGTGGGATTCCCTGAATTAGGGAGAAAATTGGGTAAAAAATAAAAATACATCCAAACATTTGAGCTCACATGTGTCAGTCAGCAGGATGAGAATCTTGAGCAGTGTTTCAGACATTGGGAGATGTGCACACTTTAAAAGCACAACTTGAGATACTTTTCATAAATAAAATATATGAGTTATGTACGTATATGAGAAGGAGACTGTTTATCAGTGTTTCTGAGCTGTATTCTTCCTGCCGTTCCCCACGCAGGCCATTTCTGTGGCAGTGTGCCCCCTCCTCCGCTGCTCATCCCCTCCAGCACTTCCACGGTCCAGTTCATGTCCGATTTCAGCATAACAGGGTCTGGCTTCTCTGTCCGGTTCCGAGCCGTGGAGGTTGACTACACTTTGGGTGAGCTGAAGGGAAAATGTTCAAACCAGTCAGACCACTGCAAAGCTGCTTCTCAGTAAGGCTTACATAAAAGAATGGGCGACAGGGCAAGTCAGTTGATTCCTGTTGTTAGAAAAAGCCTGCTTGATGTTTTAGTGACAGTGATGAATGGAACCAATGACTTCACAGAAGTTTGGGGCTTCATTCTTAACCTTGTGTGTGGGATCATGACAGACGTACAACATTTTTATAAGTGAAAGTATGCACCCGGAACTTTTAAGTACGTGCATTGCATGCATGTGTGTGCACGCATTTGAAACATAACGTTTTTGCCCTCAAACCTTTTGATATTTGCAGCTTGTCAGTGAGCTATTGTTAAGTTGCATTTTATAACTTAGTAATAAATAAGTTATTTTGCATTGATTTCCTTGTAGTTGCTGAATAATAAGCCTTAGAAAAAATAAGTGCATTGAGTCTTAATTGTTTCTACATTAATAAAACATATTGCAGCAAACAAATGTTTAGTTTACTTACTTTTAGAAGTAATTGTGTTGATGTAATGGCTCTTTGTTCATGTGGCCTTTATTCAAGTCAAGTCAGCGCATCACGTTTTAAAGCGTATGAGAAAACAAAGAAGCTTAAAGGAATAGTTTTGTGAATTTCTAATTTATAAAATTCTCCACTTATCAAACACGTAGTTGAGCAGCCAAGACATTTTTGATGCCCAAATTTTGTTTATTTTGTTTTGTGCAGGGGCTACAAGTTTAATGTTGCTAACGAACACTAGAAGTCAATAGTCACCCAAATTTTTTCATAAATACATCCCCAAAACTTCTCTCAACCCACTCAAACCAAATCCAGGACTAAAAGGATTCACATAGACTTGTCAAACAATCAATCAACCTTTACTTAAACTTGGAGTGCATTGAGGGAGACCCTCATTCACAATGTAGCCGAGCCAATACAGTAAACAGGATTTGAAAAAAATGGATTGTGAAAACATATCAAATGCTAAAAACAGCCATAATAATCATAATAGTAAATGTAATAGTAAAAAATGTTAAAAAATCAATAAACCATTAAAATTGCAACGACAAGTTAATGTAATAAAGAAATATAAGATGTAAAACAATAAATTGGCAGTAGCTATAAAGTGAAAATTGCTAATAAAATAAATAAAAAGAATAATAAAAGTGCAACATTAACTAAAATGTTCCAAAACTCACAGTTTGACTTACTGTGAACAACAAAAATGAAGAAAACTTCATAGTGTAGCTTAACACTGTGGGCATTTAAAACAGGGGTGTTATGTTGAATTCTGACTCCTCTTTGCATGCACAGATGTCACACAAGCAAATGGACACTAGATTACATTTGTCATTCCTGTTGTTTCTAATCATAAACATACATCTTTAGTTCAAAAATCCAAGTTATTTATAAGAAAGAAGCAACATAAATCACCTGTTGTCTAAAATTTAGTCTAAAATAAGTTTTATAGTCCATTGGAAGTCGTGCTGCGTCCTAAAACACATGCATGACCTCAAAGAAGACCTGGATTTGTTTGAGTAGGTTGAAAGAAGTTTTGGGGATGTATTTATGGAAAATTTGGGTGACTATTGACTTCTAGTGTTTATTTGCAATGTTAGTCTCTAAAGAAGACGCCAAACATGCACTACATGGTAAACAAAGCCACAGGTGCATACACAGAGAGATAAACATCCAAACAGTCTCTCATTTTCCTGTCCCTGTATCCCCACATTTCCATCACATGATCTCATCTCTAGGTTTAATGAGCTTCATGCTGGTAGCCCAACCTGTCTTACTGGAGTGTTTTTCATCAGCAGGCTGGCTGGGCGTGTTTAGCTCTCTGGACAGGTGTATGTGTTTGTGTGTTGGGGGGGGACCTGGGTCCCCTTAGAGTTTGTCATATGTTGTCCCTTTATGCTGCCAGAGCTCAGGCGGGCCCCTTGAGTGTCCCTCAGAGGGGGTGTGTCCATAACAACCGGATCGCCAAGAGATAGACATAGAAGAGTTTATAATCAGGTTACAATTACAATCCTTTTGATTCGTACAAGATGTACAACAAATTTGGTCCAGGGGCCAACATAGATTAAAAAACAGCAAAAGCAAAACCACAATATATACACCCTTACAGAAAAGATGTTTATTCAAGTGAGTGTGCTCTCGGTTTACTTTTTATATATTTATCAAAGATATTTTAGACAAAATTATATATAAGGAAACTTGGCTGATACTGGCAAGTATGCAGAAAAGTTTAAGTATATTTGGCCTATAATTGTATTTATACACATACTTGTATGTACTTATTCATATACCTGTATATGCTTGTGTTGTAATTATACTTATATAATATAAATATAAAATGTATAATATAAAATATACCTTCATAAACTAAAAAAAAGTAGGCTAGAAGTATATAACTAGTATATATAAGTTCACTTATAGTGTATTTCACAGTATAGTTGAAGTGCAAAATAGACCTCAGATGTAAACTAGTAGTGTTATTAAAGTTTACTACTTTTACACATAAACATATTAAAAATATATACTTTTATAAACTAAAAAGTGGGCCAATTTAGTCCCAAAAAGTATTGAAATACTACACTTATAAGTATACTACTAGAACTTTGATATAATTATACTTACTACATAAAATATACTTGGGAAATATACTTGAACTTTGCTTACGTTCACTTAATAAATTGAATTTTAAGTATAATTTTTTTGTCAGGGCTGCCATTCAAACGGCTATTAAGCACCTGTTATTAATTTTTCAGGAGCTATTTATGTTGATATTAGACAGAAGATAATCCAATTGCATAAAACAGAGGAAATGCAACTGAAAATAAATCAAAAAGATGAGCTTTCAAAACAAAAAAAGATTACAAGCTACAGAGAAAATGAGACTCATAACAACCATGCAAGACCTGGTAGACCATCAAAACTGGCCCCATCAGATAAACAGAACTTAAAGCTTTCATCTTTGAGAGAGAGGAGAAAATCAAGCTGCTTCAGATCTGAAAACATCCACAGGTGTTTCTGTCCATCCTTCCACTGTGAGAAGACGACTCAGCGCTATGGGTCTGAAAGGATGTGTAGCTGTCAAAAAGAACCTCACTGAGAAAAGGAGACGGACACATCAAACAAAGAAGCTGAACAATGGACCGACCACTCCAGAGTCCAGACCTGAACATCACTGAATCTGAACTTTGGAGGTGTGGAAAAATATTCCTGCAGATTTCCTTGAAAAGCCGAAAGCAAGTCTCCTGTAAAGAATAGAAGCTGCAATAAAAGCAAATGGTGGAAACACTACAACTGAAAATTTTCATATTTAGCTAAATAAGCCGCTGCTTTTTCCTGATGCTGAAAAATGAATTTGTACCTCAATTCATTTTAAGTGAAAATTGAATAAATGAAAGGTGTCCCCTGACTTTTTCACACTTACATTACTATTCAAAATGCATATAGTTACAGTATATACAGTTAAAGATTTGAGCCGTATAGATGTATATTATGAACATTTATATTATAAGTATCAGCAGTCAGGATTAAAACACCAGCATTGTCGTTCTCCTCCACATGACCCCTGGCTGATAGAAACACGATACAGCCGCCGGAACGAAGCCGTGTTTGTGTTTCAGGGAAGCCGGCATTGTCCGCAGGGAGATTAGACAGTGTGTGAGTGTGTATATGGGTGTGTGTGTGGTGTGTTCAAGCATGCTTGGCTCCACCAGTGCCTCCCTTTTGTGTTTGCTCAGGGCCGGGCTGCGGCACAGTGGCACAGTTTGAATCCCAGGGGGTCCTGCAGAGCCCTAACTACCCCCAGCGCTATGGCAACAGCACCCAGTGCCGCTGGATCATCCACGCCCCGCAGGGTCACATCGTCAAGGTAATGAAATCTGCGGCCTGGCCTGGCCTGGCCTGGTCAGCTCCTCGCTGGACGCCGCCTCATGAATGCATTAATCGACTGTTTGAATATGCAGCGAGAGTGGAGTCTCTCTCCTGATCGGTTTCACTGCCAGAGACAACACGATACTCACTTACGTTAAAACCACGTCACAGCAATTCACCCCCCACATTACAGTGAACAGCAGCCCACCGACTGTAATTATTACAGTCTAAACACATAGGACCCCTAAAGATTAGAGTTAGAGATGGAATGATATTCTGGCTCTTTTTCTTTTCTGATCAGCTGATATTTTATTTTTCTTTAAAACTAGTAACCTTTTTTAAAATCACTTTACTCAAAGGGGAGGTTGACCAGTTTTCCAAAATTTCTGCAGATTTCCATCACTGAGAAAAAAAAGTCATTGGGAAAAACCTCAATTGCCAACTCAATTTCTTAACAGTGGTAGTGATAGAAACCAGGGGTCGTGTTTTCAACGCTTTTCACCCATATTTACTATTCCTGCCAACAAGTGAACCTACATGTGTCTTTTTATACAATTCTTTGGAAGCATTGACCAATACTGCTTGGACTGGTACGCTAACTTCCAGCCCACGACTTCCCCTTTGGGCACTCTTATGCCTCACAGTGCCCTGCATGTAGCTCTCTGCTATGAATATATATATAAAAAGAAGTTTTAGGCCAATATTTTCTCTAAACTTCCAATAAACAGTGTGTCAGGCATCGGGCAGCATATTCATGACCATTTTATGTAATAACTGTTAAAGTTTAACTGTTTAACTGTTAAAGCAATTTTAACAAGTCAGAAATTTCATTTACAGTGCAAATATGTGCAAAATTAAAGTAAAAGCAAAATAAAGGACTTGTAATTCTAGTGTACTGCTAATAACATTATTACATGACCTACTTTAGTTTACTTAAACTATGTACGATTTGGGGGTTTGGGGACCCCTCTGGTGGAAATGTGTAACTGCACATAACGTGTAAAAGTACATTCTAATATGGGTTGTGCTTCAGAACCCTTCCCTGAGTGGATGAGTCCGATGACCGCAAATGTGTTGAAAGAGCACTCAAAGAGGACTCAGTCAAAAACGTGTAAAGAACATTTCTTCCGAGAATGTGAGTGAATTATCACATCTTCATCAGTATGATGTTGATTTTCCATTTGACCTTCTTTTTGAGCCTGTGTGGGTGATGGTATTACACAAAGACTAATGACATGGTCTGAAAAACTTCCGACACATCTAACTTAAACTGCATATGTAGTTCCACACTTCAAGAACTAAATATTGGTTTAGTAGTAGTTATTGAATTATTTATTGTAGTCACCAAACAGCAAGTCTTACATTTTGTAACTGAATAATGAGTCTCCAAGTTAAGGCCTTAATGTGTTACAAACAGTTAGGCTTTTTTAAAGGACATAAGTAGTTCACTAGTGTTGGCACAAATACAGAATATGTCCACTCATCATCTACGTTGTTCATAAGAGTGGCAGTATTGTGTTTGTAATGTAAGTGTTTTTTTACGTGGCATGACTAAGCAGATATTTCTGTGGGCCTACACACCAGTGCATGGGGTTCTAATGCATTGTGGAATGTTTTTCTCTCTTTTTCTTTGCAGCTTGAGTTTGTTGACTTTGACCTGGAGCACTCAGAGAGGTGTGAGTACGACTCGCTGGCTGTGTTTGGGGACACTGAAGCAAGAGAGGAAATCGGTAAGCTGACGAAAGTCCTTCTCCCTGAAAAACGCCACTCACTGCTCAGTTTATTAACGCTAGAAATTGTGAGCAATTCATTCCTTTGAGCCGGTCAAACTCTTTTGTAGCTTTCTCATAACCTTTTTTGTTGCTGCTATAGGCGGATTGTTTAATACATTTCAAACAATCATCTTTTACAGTTAAATATCATAAAATACCACACTGTAGCATATTAACAACACCCTCTTTGAATTCTCTCTACTGTGTAAAAGTAGGTTAACAGGTTCTTCAAGGACTCTTTATTAAAGGAAATGGGTTTATAGACAACCATGAAATGAATGCTGAAATCGTTCTTTGCATGGTTAAATGGTTTTTAAAGGAGAACCTGTTATTTATGGCCTACTTTTAAAAATGTTTCTATAGAGATCCAACAAAGGTTCCTCATAGAATTTTACAGAACTTCTTTCTTACTTTAGTTTTGCTGGATCTGTGAAGTTAATGTAAAAGAAGTCTATAGTTTGTTAGCTACAGTAGCTTCATAACTCCAGCATAACTAAAGAAACCAAATGCAGACACTAAACATGTCTTCTCTGTTCAACTATATTTCGAGTGAAGGGTAAAACTGCGTAAATTTGATTTGTGATGCATTTCTTTGAGTAGTTTTTGATCTGCTACTCTCTGCATAATTAATTAAACGGTTAAGATGTAAGCAAAGTCATTCAGAGTGGTTTGGTGTGAAATGCTCCATTCTAGAGAAACTTACTGAGTCAGAATTGTTCACAGTGGTGGTGATGGGAACCAGACGAGAGAGTTTAATGTCTCTAACAGCTTCCTCAGGAAATGGTTACAGATAATTGCTTGATGCCTAAAATGTGTTTTTACTTCTTCAAAAGAAGAAGTATTTTTTTTTTCGATTTACCACTATATTACAATCATCAACATTACATCTAAAAACTTCATATTAGATATGAAACTGTATGTCATCGCAGTTGGCACAAAACCTCATAGCCCCAACCTATTAACTTTTCAGAAGAATGACATTTTTTTTTTACTTGTAACGGAAGTTAATTTAACTTAATTTTAGATTTTTTTCCAAATCTGGAAATACTGGACTGTTTCAGTTTGTTCAACATGAAATTTTAACACAATGTAAAGGGTAACTTGAGTTTTCAAGTTATGCATAGAAGTAAAAACCAACAAAAATGGAGATACAAGATTTTTGCATGACAGCAATGTTAAGTAGGTTCACTGGTGGTTTTGGATAGTAAGTAAAATGGCTACAGGTAGACATCGTGACCCCTGGTTCCTATCATCACCACTGCAAAGAAGTCAGTAAGTTTCTCTATAATGCACAATTTCAAGTCAAACCACTCTGACTTTGTTTACATCTCAACCTGTGGTTTATGTTGAAATTTTGGAAAATGTATGGAATTCCCCTGTAAGTCATTTTTCAGATTTACTAAACTGACAGTGTTTTATATTAGCATGGGTCTAAGCTGCTCTACTCTCCTCTGAAAGTAGCACCTGCTTCAGCTCTTGAAGGTCTTTCTGATGAGCTGATGAGTTGAATGAGTCTGATCAGAGCAGGGAAACTGCACTGTGACCTTTCAGTGAAGGTCTGCACTGCAGTATCATTTGACATGAAATTGCATGGTTGCATCACGGGTAATGTGGATCTCTGCTGTGCGTCTGTGTGGTTAAAGTGGTGCTGTGTGGTCATGGCGTCCCTCCCCCCGTATTGAGCTATAGTCGTGTGATGCTGGTGCAGTTCCGCAGTGACAGCAGTGTGTCTGCCCGAGGCTTCAATGCGACACTCTCATTTATCAGCAAAACAGGTGAGAACATCAACAGACAACAAACACGCACGGCCACAGTGCTCATATTACACTGAAAACACAAATTACACACACAAACATACACATGCATACACATACGTCACTGCTCCAAGGTTTGGAATCACTTGTCGTATTAATCTTTACAGTTATTTTATTCAGTTATAACCTATACTGTATGTAGTGTATGGTAGTGTTTTATTCCATTGATCAAGTTTTAATGAACAACAAGAACTATATTCTGTAATGATCTGAGGGAAATTCTCAGGGCCTTCTAGGCCTTCAGAGAGGGCCTCATGATTTCTAGGAACTAAAAAATGTATTTTTAGTTCACTTTTATGTAATATAATCTTGCTTTTAAAATCTGTACGTATTGCAGTGTTATTCTTGTTCCATTGTTAAGATTTGGATAAAAACAAAAGTGTTAAATTCTTAAAATGCCCTGCAGAAAACTGGCCAATCACGAACTGTTTGTCTTTCGTATATCATCGCTGTCCAACAAAAACCATGTATCTCCATTTTTATCGATTTTTATTTTTCTACTTCATTTCAACACACCAGCTGTGCTTTATGTTGTGTGAAAATTTCATGATCAAGGGACCAGTAGAAATGCTCAAAAAAATCACTTGGAATAAAACGTCTTTACATTAACTTGCATTGAAAGGTAAGAGTGTTTTATGCCTTCTCCTGTAAAGTTACTATTTTGAAGATACCTGTTTTTTATTGGACAGCGACGATATGTAGATATAGCTAAGCAAGCTCTCCTATTGGTCTCTTGAGGACTTCAGGAGCTGAAGAGAAGGCCTGATGTGTTAGATTAACCATCAGCATAATTAGTGACAAAGGAATCAACCAATCACATTTTGATTTCCCAAAGGTGGGGCCAATTTTGTCACTCTAGGCCCTCTGGATGTTCTAGATGCATTCTAGAACTATGCCAGGAAACTTTCCTAAGAGGGTCGCTGTGAAACCACTACGAGGCAAAATATATGTTAATAGGTCTTAATCAAGAACTGCCAAAAAATATTCACGTGCTCCAGCATTAGCTTAGCACTAACGTACTGCTAGAAATTCCACAGGGATGGTAGCAGAAATCAGCTTTGGCTGTAATACAGTCCGAGAACAGTACATTGTCAAGTTAAATCTTAATTCTAGTTGATATATCTAATATTCCTTATGTTTACATCGTTGTGAGCTTATTTTAAGATTATTTAACCTATTTCTCGACATTCTTAACTGTTTTAAGACAAGTGAAGTTATCTGCCAAAATAGTGAGATAATTTTATGTAATAAAATCACTTAAAATGAGTAAAAATGTTTGGAAATAAGAGAAATCATCTTAAAATAAGATTACAACAATCTGAACAGGAGAAATATTAGATTTAACGACTAGATTTAAGATTATATTACTTGAAAAGGTACCTTTTTTTTGCAGTGGTTCGTCACTGATAAAAAACACTGTAACTAGGTGGCAGGAGATTTTTTGAAACGTTTTATTCAACATTTCAATTTTTATGAACAACAAGAATGTATGAAGTAATAAAAATACTTTAATTATTAATTTATGGTAATTTCTTGTCTTCCACTTTGAGGTTTGATCACCACTTTTCAAATATGAATGTTTTTCATAATTAAACATAATTTCAATGCTTTACAGCTTTCTCAGTCTGTATAGGACCATCTAACATTCCTTCCTTTTGTTCAGCTTCCTCCGAAGCATTTGAAACATATAAAACTGAGTAGTAACATCATATTTGAGCCATTTATACACATTCCTGCAGCAAAACTGGCTTCATATTAATGAAAACGATGATTGAATGATTCTAAACGTTTGAACTGCAGTGTATTACCAGTGAGTCTGCAGTGAGAGGAGTGTGACAGTCCATTGAAATGCATCATCGCTGATGTGCTGTATGTGGTCTATGTGTCCACAGATTTCTGAGGTGGAGATTATAGAGAGAGCAGATTATGCAGGGCATTTCAGTGGGGAATTCAGCAGAGCCTGTCTGATGGGTTTTGTGCACTAATGAAGCTGCAGATCAAGCATCTCTGCTGTTGTCGGACTGGCTTGGGTTCGAAAAACACTTCCTTTTCGGAAAGCTGAGGGTTTCTGGATCCCCACCTGTGCATTTGTTGACCAAAGTTTCCTAACCCTGCACTCTTAAAAAGGATGGTTCTTCATGGGTTCTTTAGTAAAAAAGATGGTACTATATAGAACCATGAACACTTAAAGAACCCTGTGCATTATTAAAGGGTTCTTTGTATTGTGAAAAGGTCATCAGATTGTTGGGTATGGTTCTCTATAGAACCTTTTTGAAAAGGGTTCTTTATAGCACCAAAAAGGGTTCTACTACTGTTATGCTGTCAAGCTTGTAACAGTAGAGAAACTCTTTTTGGTGCCACATAGAACTCTATATAGAACCATATAAAACGCATTCGCCATCAATTTGAAGAACCCTTTCATAATGCTAGGAACCCTTTAATCATGCAAAGGATTCTTTGAGTGTTCATAGCTCTATATAGAACTATTTTCTGTACTAAAAAACCCTTGAAGAACCATCTTTTTTAAGTATGTAGCACACCTGTGTCTAATGCTTAGAGGCTCCTCCTGTGTGTCAAATGAAAAAGTGTTTCTGGGTGGAACTTGTGTGTTTGTTTTGTGTTAAATCCCCTCTGAAGGCCCATCTTTTCCTCATGGCCTGTACCCCTGTGTAAGATCTGAGACTTTTTATGTCATTTTTGTGTTTTCTGTTTTACGTTTAAACTTATTTTAATGTGTTGTTGTGTTTTTTCTCCTTCATGTATTTCCTCTGGCACTATTTTAGTTACATATTATCTTTGCATTGACAGTTAATATATATATATATATATATATATATATATATATATATATATATATATATGTATTATTTAATTGATTGAGCAGCACTTTGGCCTACATTTCTTGATTTTAGTGTTTTATGACTATAGTTGACTTTTTTCCTCGTAAAACTAAGAGCCTAATTGTCATCTGAAATCACACTGAATCACTTTGTTGTGCAGAACAATGAAGTTAAGACGAAAAAAAAAAACCATTTTTAAATCCTTATGTCAAACCAAAAACACGTCTTCTCATCAAGAGAAAATGACACAGAACCTCCACGTCTAAGTATATGTTTAGTGTGTTCACTCTTTACCTTTATTACAGCTCCCGTTCTTTTCAGGAGACTCACTGGGGATATTTTTCCACACCTCCAAAGTTCAGTTTTAGGAGTTGGTTGCATTTTCATTATCTCACGATCCAAATAATCCCAAACACACTCAGTGACGCTGAGGTCTGGATTCTGGGGTGGTCAGCCCATTGTTCTGCGAACTCCAGCAGCTTTTTAGTATGATGTGTCTGTTTGCTTTTCTCAGTGAGGGCTTTCTGACAGTTACACTGCAAAAAATGGTTTCTTGTTAAGTAAAATTCTAAATCTAGTCAATAAATCAAATTTCCAATTTCTCCTGCCGATGTTGAAGCTTAATTTAAGATTATTTAACTTATTTCCAAACATTTTTACTTGTTTTAAGTAATTTTGTTAAGTAAAATGATCTCACTACATTGGCAGATAATTTTGCGTGTTTTAAGAAATGTGCTCGAAACAAGCTAATTTATCTGCCAGTCTAGTGAGATAATTTGACTTACTAAAGCTACTTAACACAGGTAAAAATGTCTAGAAATAGGTTAAATAATCTTAAAATAAGATCACAACAATCTCAAAATAAGGAATATTAGATATATCGACTAGGATTAAGATCATTTCACTTGACAGGAGGCTGTTTTTTGCAGTGTACACATCCTTTCAGACCCACAGTGTTGAGTTTTCTCACAGTGGAAGGATGGACCGAAACACCTTTCAGTACTGTTGTTGGGGGCAGTCTACCAGGTCTTGCAGGTGTCTCAAACCCCTGTTTTTTACGTGTTTTGCTTTGACTTTCTTCTTTCTTATACAAGTGGATTATATTATGAAAAATGCATAACTTGCTCTTAATGGTCATTTTGATAGGAAATGTAATAAGGGGAGTCTGACCGTGCTATACGTTTACTTATAATTGAATAAAATAACAATCATTAATATGATGAGTGCTTCTTTTGAACAGTCGACTGTAAAGCTGATGTCTGTAAATGTGTGTAAGGAGGAAGGAGAACGTGGTGTGTGTGAGCTCCTGTGACTCTGACAGCAGTAAAAGTGTCAGGCGTGTGTTAAATGATGAGCTGATTGTTTGGGCTGGTGTGATCAGTCTGTTGTGTGTTGGTGAACAGACTCAGAGGAGCAGGTGAAAGTGTCGCTGCTCTGAGAGCTTCTCTTTACCGCTCAGACTGGTCTGGTCTGTCTGTCTGTCTGTCTGTCTGTCTCTTTACCTTTTCTCATCACACAGTGATGAGACAGTCTCCACTGCTGCCACACTGAATAAGTGTTATTCATCTCTGAGGGTTAATTAATAACTAAACATGAACAAAATCACAATAAACAAGCGTAAATATTACACTAATCGCATAATGAAGTTACAGAAATGTAACCGTTTTTCTCACTTTCTTGCTCTCTCTCTCTCCCTCTCATTCCGATTCCTCTGTTCTCTCTCACTCTTCTCTCAATCTCATTCTAATTCACTGTCCCTCTCACTCTTCTCTCACTCTCATTCTAATTCACTCTCACTCTTCTCTCACTCTCATTCTAATTCAATCTCCCTCTCACTCTCATTCTAATTCACTCTCTCCCTCTCACTCCTCTCTCACTCTCATTCTAATTCACTCTCCCTCTCACTCTCATTCTAATCCACTCTCTCACTCTCACTCTTCTCTCACTCTCATTCTAATTCACTCTCCCTCTCACTCTCATTCTAATTCACTCTCTCCCTCTCACTCCTCTCTTACTCTCATTCTAATTCACTCTCTCCCTCTCACTCTTCTCTCACTTATCCTAATTCACCCTCCCTCTCACTTTTTTCTTATTCAATCTAATTCACTCTCCCTCTCTCAT